GATAAAAAATAAAGACATAAACAACAAGTTTTCAAGTCCAAATTATATCATCATTTTAAATAAACACATACAAAATAGAATTCACCATTTGGCCAAAACGTCCAAAAGTGGCGCCGCTTATTGAGCTTTGTCACTGGCATCAGTTTGTTTACAGTCAATCAGTCACAGTTATCACCAACAGGACCTGAAGGCAACATGAGTCTTCTGCCTTCTTTGTTGGGGTGTCACTCATGATTCCACGCCCCCTCCGCAAAATCAGGGCCAAAAGTCTGAAACTGAAAAAAAAAAAACTTATCTAAAAAAAATTTGATTCTGAAAACATAAAAAGTGGAACTTAAAACAATTAGTCCTCAATTAACAAAATTTATAAAAGTGAAAGATTAAAATTTATAATTTATTCAAAATAATTCCATAATTTAATCAACATTTTATTTAAACTGAAAACAAAACACTTAAACACTTATTTTTATTTTGATTACATGGTTTTATTTTTCAAGTTTAAGACCAAAACTTAAATGTTCAATTACAAGTTGTAATTTTTCTCTTACAGTTTTTTTCATCTTTCAAATTAGCAAAACATTTGGCCCTGATTTAGCTCCATAAGTGGACAGATGGATTTTCAGCCACAGAACAAAATATACAAGAAATATATAATTAAAATCTGGCTACAAGGATCTCTAACATTCTGTGTAGTTGAAAAATATTTTTTTCCAAATCCAGTTTTCTGAGAATAAAAGGATTTTACAGTTATTGCTGATCTTGCATCTGCACGTCCCTCCCATACATTAACTTTATGATGCAGTGTGTCAAAATGACAGAGCTGTAAAACCTGAACCTGGTCTTGTGCTCAGTCCTGGCTCTGGGACTACACGAATCAGTACTTAGTTTGTCTGTTAAGATATTTATTTTGTTGAAGAAAACAGATTTAACTTAATTTTCCTGCTGCACAATAGTTGAAAACAGATTTAATAGGTTTGTTCTGAGCAGAGAGAAAAGTTTAAACCACATTAACTTTCAGTGAGGAGCAGAAACTGAATGATTTGACATTTATCCTGATAATTCTTGATATCTAATGATGTGAAAGGTTTTATCATGACAACATGTGCTAACTGACCTTTCATCAAGTAAACCAGAACCACAGTGATAAAACAGCTGGGAGTCGTTCAGGAACGTCTCTCAGTTAAACAGGGACCAGGATAAAAACCGCAGGGACAGAAGTCGTCGACCTTCGTGACGTTCTCCTCGTTAAGTTCAACAAACAGCAGCGGGTCTGTGATTCTGACGCTTTAATCAGCGCCGGCGGCTGCAGAGTCGCTTACAGTGTGTTTTCCTAAATCACTGTGAGTGTGTTGCATCTCCCTGCCTGTAGTTAGCGAGCACTGCCTGTTATTCTGCTCAGGATGACTAAAACGCCCCGCAGACACAACCCCTCTTTGTAAAACACATCTACCCCTCAGCCGGAGAGGGGGGGGGGGGAGCGTGCCGCCCCGGGCCAGCAGCGGCGAGGAGTAAAAACTGTGTTTCACCGGCGGAGGAAGAAGCACTCAGATCAGCAGAAGCAGAAATAACAGAGCCTTTCCTTCCTTCATCACTTCCTCTCTCCTTCTTTCCTTCCTTCATCACTTCCTCTCTCCTTCCCTCCCCTCCTTCCCCTCCCTCTCTCCTTCCCTTTCTCCTCCCTCTCTCCTTCCCTCTTCCCTCTCTCCTTCCCCCTCCCCCTTTGCCCTTCCCCTTCTCCTCCCTCTCTCCTTCCCTCTTCCCTTTGCCCTTCCCTCTCTCCTTCCTCCTTCCCCCTTCCCTCTCTCCTTCCCTCTTCCTTTCCCTTTCCCTCTCCCCTCCCCTCTCTCCTTCCCCCTTCACTTCCCCCTCTCTCCTTCCCCCTTCCTTTCCCCTTCACTTCCCCCTCTCCTTCCCCCTTCCCCTTCCCCCTTCCTTTCCCCTTCCCTCTCTCCTTCCCTCTTCCCTCTCTCCTTCCCCCTCTCCTTCCCCTTCCCTCTTCCCTCTCTCCTTCCCCCTTCCCTTCCCTCTTCCCTCTCTCCTTCCCCCTTCCCTTCCCCTTCCCTCTTTCCTTCCCTCTCCCCTCTCTCCTTCCCCCTTCCTTTCCCCTTCCCCATTCCCTCTCTCCTTCCCTCTCTCCTTCCCTCTTCCTTTCCCCTTCCCCATTCCCTCTCTCCTTCCCTCTCCCCTCTCTCCTTCCCCTTCCCCTTCCCTCTCTCCTTCCCTCTTCCTTTCCTCCTTCCCTCTTTCCTTCCCTCTTTCCTTCCCTCCTTCCCTCTCCCCTTCCCTCCTTCCCTCTCCCTCTTCCCTCTTCCCTCTCCCCTTCCCTCTCCCCTTCCCTCTCTCCTTCCCTCTTCCCTCTCCCTCTTCCCTCTTCCCTCTCCCCTTCCCTCTCCCCTTCCCTCTCTCCTTCCCTCTTCCCTCTCTACTTCCCCCTTCCCTCTCTACTTCCCTCTCCCCTCTCTCCTTCCCCTTCCCCCTTCCCTCTCTCCTTCCCTCTCTCCTTCCCTCTTCCTTTCCCCTTCCCCATTCCCTCTCTCCTTCCCTCTCCCCTCTCTCCTTCCCCTTCCCCCTTCCCTCTCTCCTTCCCCCTTCCCCCTCTCCTTCCCTCTCTCCTTCCCCCTTCCCCATTCCCTCTCTCCTTCCCTCTCCCCTCTCCTTCCCCTTCCCCTTCCCTCTCTCCTTCCCTCTTCCTTTCCTCCTTCCCTCTTTCCTTCCCTCTTTCCTTCCCTCTCCCCTTCCCTCTTCCCCCTTCCCTCTTTCCTCTCTCCTTCCCTCTTCCCCCTTCCCTCTTTCCTCTCTCCTTCCCTCTTCCCTCTCTCCTTCCCTCTTCCCTCTCTCCTTCCCCCTCTCCTTCCCCTTCCCTCTTCCCTCTCTCCTTCCCCCTTCCCTTCCCCATTCCCTCTCTCCTTCCCTCCTTCCCTCTTTCCTTCCCTCCTTCCCTCTTTCCTTCCCTCCTTCCCTCTTTCCTCTCTCCTTCCCTCTTCCCTCTCCCCTTCCCTCTTCCTTTCCCCTTCCCTCTCTCCTTCCCTCTTCCTTTCCCCTTCCCCATTCCCTCTCTCCTTCCCTCTTTCCTTCCCTCCTTCCCTCTTTCCTTCCCTCTTCCCTCTCCCCTTCCCTCTTCCCTCTCCCCTTCCCTCTTCCTTTCCCCTTCCCTCTCTCCTTCCCTCTTCCCTCTCCCCTTCCCTCTTCCTTTCCCCTTCCCCATTCCCTCTCTCCTTCCCTCTTCCTTTCCTCCTTCCCTCCTTCCCTCTCCCCTTCCTTCCTTCCTTCCTTCGCAATGATCTGAAAGCACAAAAGATTCTTCTGAGATTCTTTTGTACGTTTCACTTTTCAGAATAAGCTTCAGCAGCTGTCGTTTCCTGCAGCGTTCTGGCAGCTAAACTACACTGCAGGTCGGCCGCCATGTTTGTAGTTCTTCTGTAAATCTAAATAGCTCGAGTCTAGTGAAAAACCTTAAATGGTCCAAAAGTTAAAAGATCTAAAATTAACAATTAAATGAAGGAGTTTGGCTCATTATAGATTAGGATAGATCGATCAGTCGCTCACTGCTGACCTGAACTTGGTCTTTCCCGTCTCTGGTTTCTGGAACGTCACTACATCTGTCCCATCTGTCCCGTCTGTCCCCGTCAGGACTTCCCCCAGCTGTACGAGGAGGCTCGGTTCTACCAGCTGACCCCGATGGTGCGGGAGCTGGATCGCTGGCAGGCGGAGCGAGAGGCTCAGCGGGCGGCGCCCTGCGAGTGTCTGGTGGTTCGCGTCACGCCCGACCTGGGCGAGAGGATCGCACTGAGCGGAGAGAAGGTTCTGATCGAGGAGGTCTTCCCCGAGACCGGAGACGTCATGTGTAACTCTCTCAACGCCGGCTGGAACCAGGACCCCACCCACGTCATCCGCTTCCCCCTCAACGGGTACTGCAGACTCAACTCTGTCCAGGTGAGCTCACACCTGCTCAGGTCAGGGCTCCTTCTGCGTACAGGCGAAGCCAGAACAGCCAAGAACAGAACCAGAATCTTTCTTTCTTGATCCGGATCAAATGAAGTGAACTGCAGGCGTGAAAGAGAAACCAGCTGGTCTCCTTTAGACTACTTTAGACCAGAGTCCAGCTGGTCTCCTTTAGACCACTTTAGACCAGAGTCTAGCTGGACTCCTTTAGACTACTTTAGACCAGAGTCCAGCTGGTCTCCTTTAGACCACTTTAGACCAGAGTCCAGCTGGTCTCCTTTAGACCACTTTAGACCAGAGTCTAGCTGGTCTCCTTTAGACCACTTTAGACCAGAGTCCAGCTGGTCTCCTTTAGACCCTTTAGAGTCCAGCTACCTTTGACTCGTAGATGTACCAGGACCGGCTGACTGAGTCTCAGTTCAGGTCACATGAACAGTTTCTTCCCACCTCATCAACACGGCCCGGGACCCCGGGGCCCCCACTGACTCTCGCGGCCCCTCTTAATGTTTCACATCAGACCTGTTTATTTTACTGCACCTGTAGATGCTGTCAGTTCTTTAGTTGTTGCACCAGAACAGAACCTGGTCTGTGTAATAAAGTCTGTTACCTGAAACCCTGTCCGTCCGCCTGCCTGCAGGTCCTGGAGCGTCTGTTTCAGAAGGGCTTCAGCATCAAGGCGTCCTGCGGCGGGGGGGTCGATTCGTCCCAGTTCAGCGAGTACGTCCTGTGTCGCGACCTGCGGCACAGCCAGTCCATCACCAGCACCCCGATCCGGATCAAACAGGAACCTCTGGACTAACCACCACCCTTTGCGGACAGTCTTTGAGTCCAGCTGGAGGACGAAGACGTTCAGGACACATGTCGGGACTGGCAGACCTTTGACCTCTGCTGACCTTTGACCTCTCAGTCTGAAGAGACTCTGATCCTCTCTGGTTTGATATGAACAGCTTGCTGCGGGCGCATAACTCTTTTATAAACCATTCTGAAAACATGTTTATGTATCTGTTAGTTTTGTGTCTCGTTTTCACCTTTAAACTCTGTAATGAACTCAAAGCTGCTTCTTTATCATTTTCTTTATTTCATTTTTTTTGCAAAGGTACAAACAACTGTAAAATTGCATTGCCCGAAATGCGTCAGGTTGAATACAGAATGTAGGAAATATAAATAGTCGCAAAAATTGTGTCCTTCCGACAGGTGATCCTGTATGTGGGCGCTCTGCAGACCGCCTGCACATACAGCCCACACACCTCAGCTTCAGTTAGCAGGTGGATACTATACAGACCAAATGCCCGATACGAGGGGAGAAAAAAAAAAGACATGTAAAGCGTTAAAAACCTTCAATGTACACACTTTCCAAAAAAGATCTCCTTAAAAAGTTTCAACAGCAAACTGCATCTTCAGGAGGAGGGGGAGCAGGACGAGGAGGGGGGCAGGAGGAGCAGGGGGAGAAGGAGGAGCAGGAGGAGAGGGAGGGGAAGAAGGAGGGGGGCAGGAGGGGGAGGAAGGGGGAGTAGGAGGAGGAGCGCTGCAGGAATGTGATGTGTGGTGTTAGCCTTCTTGAACGTAGCCTGAGTGAGCGTTGAGTCTGCAGGAGAGCCAGCTCCCTGATGAAGAGCAACATCTCCTCTCAGAGTCACATGCTCAGTCTGCACATATGAAGCTACAGCCGCTTAGCTTAGCTTAGCTTAGCTTAGCATAAAACAGCTAGCCTGGGGCGGACCAATTCCTCAAAAGCTCAGCAGCTTTCAAACAGCAGCACGCGAGTGAAAACTAAATGTTGCTGAGCTGCAGAGATGTCCTGTCGTTTACGTTTGCTTTTCAGAGAGAATTATGTAAAAATCATAATGTCCTCCAAAATCCAAGATGGAATATCAGTCCAGATAATCAGGCGTCGTCCAAAAGGGAACGGACCCAGCTGCTCTGAATCTGAGGTTTCATCTGGACAAACACTGAAGTTTAAAAGCTACATTTAGTTTTTGTGCCGTCTTCTCTGATCAGTCGTTCCACAACACCTGAGACACGCTGTGGTCGTACGTTCCCCCAGTACGACCACAGCGTGTTTTCATACTATAAATGGGATAAAACGTGTTCATCTGTGCTGACCTAGGCTAACTGTTCCCCCCGTTTCCACTCTTTATGCTAAGCTAAGCATATTGAACATGAGCTGAACATGTGACTCAGAGAGGAAGATGATTCATTAAATGTTGGACTGTTGCTTCAAGTCTGTCGGCCGTCACCGCCATCAGCATCATTACCCCCCCCCCCCCCACACACACACACACAGTCTAAAACGATCTGTTTCGTCTTCGTTCATTCGACCATCGCAGCGGCACAGTTCTGACGTCCCTCTGACAACAACGATCATAAAACTAATAAGTCCCTCCCTGCAGCGGCGGAAAACTTAAAAAGAAAAAGTGACGGTTGAATGTAAGACCTCACACATCTGAGCGTGCTCAGAAAACTTTAAAAAACAAACCGAGGAGCCCACGAGCCCGGCGTCCTGAGTGGCAGCTGAGGGCAACAAACGACAGGCAGTCTACGTGGAGATGGTCGGAAAGATGAGACGGGAAAGGCACCTCTGTAGGTACAGCGCTGGAGTCGACGCGGCGTCAGGCGTCAGGATCAGCACGCCGTCTGGAAACTCTGACCGAGAGGGCCTCGTTTCAGACCTGCGCACTGTTAAAGAGTCTCAGCGTGAGTCTCCAGGTGACTCCAGGATTCGGGGAGTTCTCCTGCACACGTTTGAAAGTAGTCCGACGCCCTCAGGGTCTCAGAGGGATCCGTGTGAAGTCTGCTGAATGTCCTCGGGTGAAAACAAAACTGCAACTGGACCTCCACCCAACTGTCAGAGTTGCATTGTGGGTAATGAGGGCGCCAGGTTTGGACAGGAGAGAAGAATGTGAGGAATAAAAACGGAGCTCTCTGGTTCTGCTGTCTGACACCAGAATCTGATTGACCTCCTCTGTACCTGCAGCCATCAGCGGGTTCTGCTGAGCTCGGAGAATCCAACACTGAGGAAGCTGCAGTTGCTTCTTAGCTTCCACCGGAGATTTCTTTTAACACAGCCGGACCGTAGCGTGCGGTCTGAAGCTGGGCACCTGAACCAGCAAGACGAGATGTAAACCTGGAAGAGGGTTCAGGTGAGTCCAGGTTACAGGGTGCTGAGGGGACTGAAGACCCCATCCGTGACAATGAAACACCTTTGAGGATATGAGGACTGGAGGTTGAAGTGTGATCCGGTTTGTGGTCTGCGGGGGGCGGGGAGCTCGTCCTTACTTCAGTAGCGCCTTGTAGAGCATGAGCGAGCGAGCCGTGGAGCGCTCCTGCTCCAGGCAGAAGATGAAGTCCCTGAGGTTAACTCGTGTGATCCGCTGACGGAGCTGCTGGCGGGAGGAGGAGGCGGCCGGGGAGGAGCCGGCGCCCGAGCCTGAAGCCACCTGAGGGGAGAGAGAGAGCAGCATTAGGCCGGGTCAGTGCTTCAGAAATACCAGAACAACGTTCACACCGCAACACCAGGGCTCCCGACAGGACCTGAAAACCAGCTGGATTCATTCAGTCCACCTCCTGAACCTCTGATGAAACCCGCCCTCTGTCAGATAACTGTCTCTTTAATAAAACTAACAGCTGTGAGAGGATGTCCAGGACAGATGAGAGGTGGTTTGATGTCAGTACATTCAGAAATGAGCACACTGTTGAAACTACAACCTGCTCTGTGCATCAGTAAGTATTTAATTAATTAATTTACTTAACTTTTCTTTACAGACTCACAGGAGTGAAATGTTTAAAGCTGGTCTCTATGCTGGCAGTGGTTTGAGCTTTTTTATGCTGAAAAACTAATAATAATAATAAAAATAATATAATATTTTATTTGTAATGCACTTTATATTTAAACAAATCCCAAAGTGCTTCATGAGGAAAAACAGGTAAGTGCTGAAAATAAAAACAATAAGGCAAAGAAAAGGGGCAAGAGTCCAGGAAAAAGCTCTCCTAAAAGATTTTAAGACCGCGTTTAAAAGCATTGTATCAACCTTTTCAGACGGCCCCTACTCCTCCTACAGTAACAGGAGCGTTGGACAGACGTTTGTGATCTTTGGGGATTTTCAGGTGATTAAACTTTTAAACGTCTGCCTGAATCAGCTCTCCAAGAGAACTGGGAGACATCCAGGCTTTAACTCGGAGCTGCTTTGGGAAACAGCCGTGAAACTAACTTCATCTAAACCTAATTACAGGTATCTGCAAGTGTACAGCTGATACGTTTCACTGTATGGAGGGATTGTTGGGTCAAATTAAAAATAAAAGTCTAAATCCTGAAACTTAAAGTCTAAGTCGAAAATGAAATTGGTATTTAGGATTGGTCTTTTGGGGATGTGGGAATTTAGGATTTAGTCGTGTATACAAATGAGGAGGCTCGGCCCAAAAGCTGTAGGGAGGGTTTGAAAGGGCTGAGGGGCAGAGGCACTGTATGGACTGCAGGGGAGCTCTGACTGCCAGCACACTGCCATGAAAGCAGGGCTGGAGGGAGGACTATCATTTATAATACCATAACTAAAAGTGTACAGCATTTCTGTCAATGTGGCCTCACACACAAACAGTGTTATCCGTCTGAGGAGAAAGCAGCGGACAGTACAGCAGGTAAGATATGCTAACATTAGCAAGTTAGCTATATTAGGCTAACTGTTGCTGACATGCATGTGTTACGTTACTGTAGTTACATGCAGATTTTAAAATGACTAAATGACTAATTTCCCTATCCTAAACACCAAATGAATAATCCTCAAAAGACTTTAAGTTTGCCATTTAGACTTTTAGTTTTAGACTGTTAATTTTCAATTTAGACTTTTAGTTTTCGATTTAGACTTTTAGTTTTAGACTTTTAGTTTTCGATTTAGACTTTTAGTTTTAGACTTTTAGTTTTTGACTTTTAGTTTTCGATTTAGACTTTTAGTTTTCGATTTAGACTTTTAGTTTTAGACTTTTAGTTTTCGATTTAGACTTTTAGTTTTAGACTTTTAGTTTTTGACTTTTAGTTTTTGATTTAGACTTTTAGTTTTAGACTGTTAATTTTCAATTTAGACTTTTAGTTTTTGATTTAGACTTTTAGTTTTAGACTGTTAATTTTCAATTTAGACTTTTAGTTTTTGATTTAGACTTTTAGTTTTAGACTGTTAATTTTCAATTTAGACTTTTAGTTTTTGATTTAGACTTTTAGTTTTAGACTTTTAGTTTTTGATTTAGACTTTTAGTTTTAAATCTGACCCAATAATCCCTCCATATCACTCTGGACCATCGACTTAAATCTAAAAGTACATAAATTTCCCTCCTCAAACAGAAACAGAAGTTCAAACTCTGGACTTCAGCTCGGAACTGAACTGTATTTGTGAAGCTTCTGTGTTGATTCAGTTCAGCAGTAACATCTGAAGCTGTGGTCAGATGTGCTTTTATATTCCCTCACTACGAGGTGTTTCTGTTATTCTGTCCATCCCACTAGGACTTCCTGTTTCAGCTGTGCTGTGTTTGGTTTGATCCTGAATCATCAATAACAGCTTTAAGTGAGGTCTCCCGTCCAGACCTGCAGGAGGATCACCACACCTTCATGTCTCAGGTGTGCCTGCAGCCTGAGGCCAGGTAACGCCCGAGCCCTGCAGATACGACTCCTCTCCCGTCTCAGAGCTCTTGCTCCAACAAGCCCTCTTTCCCACCGCTGTTCAGGATGCAAACAGTCGTTCAATTCACAGCAAAAGCACCAACTTGGAGCGTCTCTTCCCAGGAAGCTCAAAACGTCCCGAGGCGAGCTCCACCGGCCAAAGCCTCTGAAAGAAACTGCTGTCTGAAGGCGTGTGAATGTTCCCTGAACGCACCCTGAGGTCAGGACACGGCCTCGAATTGTGGGCGGAGTCTGTGATCACTGGGACACAACAAGTTTACCTGACGGTGAATAAAAATTAAAAATGTTTGCTGTCCACGTGAAGCCGAATGATGTTTGAGAGCCTGAAGTGCAAAATGTTGTAGAGACAACGGAGCTTCTATTTTCTACATGAGCCTGAAGGCAGAACCAGCACAAGACTGTCTGCAAACCAAACTCACAGCCACTGTGGATTCTTTCAGGCAGGGAGTATCGTTCACATCCGTCTTTTAACATCTTATTCTACAGCCGACCGGTACGAGAGTTTAAAGGCAGACATTCAGGATCAGTCTCCCATTTGGTTTTTGTTGCCCTCAGAGAAAACATTTCACTTTCTTTCTGGCCTTCTGGTGAATCCAGCTTTAACAGTGACCAGTGACCCTGAGTGATGATGTGAAACTACTAATCGAGTTGCAGCTGAGCGGAACACAGAAACTCCCCGAGGGTCAAGCTGCAACGATCAGTCAGTTTATTGCACTGATCCGATACGGACTCAGACAGCTGGATTGGCTATTGATGAGGGGGCCGATCTATTTAATCACACATGTACTGCTCTGGTACAACATTTAGCTGGGAGAGCTAACAAATCATTTAATTTGACAGAGTTAGGAAGGGATCGGTGCGTCCTGATTAATCTCTAAACCTTCCTCTGTTCTGATCGTTGAGTCGTGTGTTGAGCAGAACCTGCAAATTATCTCTGCTGTCAGTTTCTGTCTGATCTCTCTTTGTTCTGGACTGCAGGTCGACATGTGCAGAAACTAGTTTCCTGTTTTCTAGACTAAATCAATCGATTCATAAAGAAATTATTGGCTGACTGAATGATGGCTTCCTGCAGCTGCAGCACTGAGGCCTGATATTTGTTCCTGTGTTCACCTGTACTTTGAACACAGCTCTTCCTCCCGTGGTTCAGATAGCCGTGCAGCAGCAGCAGAGCCTGCGGGCAGGGCTGACAGCAGAGGATAGGAATGAAGCTCCAGGTCCACACAGGAACCCAGACTTTATGAAGCCAGGCAGCCTGCAGGCAAACACGCAGGCCTGCCCTCTGCAACCAGTCAGTTCACCTAAATATCTTTATGTTAAATCACTCGATCAAATCTTCAGGTTACATCGATATTCATACACAACCGTGAAATGCTCCGGCCTAAGCCTGCAAAGAGCAACAACCTGAGTTGTGTGCAGTCTTACAGACGCCTGTCAGAGGTCGAGTGGAGGCGCTGCATCACATCTACCACTAATCTATTAACACGTCACTGGTCTGAACTCGATCACAGATCCTTAGTGAGGGAAGACACTCCGCTCTGTAACACCTCTGTTCAGCCAGAGAGTTTCCAACAGAGTGAGACATCTCCTCTGATACAGCCATCAGCTGATCTCACCTCAGTTTCAGCTTCACAGTTCGATCAGACCAGAATCAGCTCAGTGATCTGAGTGTATATCACATATCATCACCACCTGGTGGTGGGACTTCCTCCAGATCTTTGGTCCTGATGTCTTTAGCAAGCTCAGCTAGTGAAGAGGAGGCACCAGGGTCAAGTCTTTTCTTGGAGGAGGGGGGGGGGGGGGTCATAGGGAGTGTCTTTTTCAATACAACTCATTTAATTCAAGTTCTAAAGTGGATCGTGTCTCTGATGGTATGGTGAAATGTTTCTGCACATGTCCACTCCTGTTGTTTCCTACTGTGACTCAGACATTACATGTTGTTCTCTGTGGAACTGAAAAGGTCTCACAAACTCCTGCGTTCACCGAGACCTGCAGAAACACACCCCGGGAGGTAAAAAGGTAAAACCGGGTAGCTGCTGCTGTTGTTGTTTTTTTTAAACTGAGAAGAACAAAGCTCCTGCGTTGCTAGCGTATATTCATAACAGGCTGACGCCCGGGGCGCTGCAGGAGGGAGGGGGAGGACGGGACTATCTGAAGCCTGATCGGGCCTGCAGTCGGGAGCTGAAGGGCGGACTGCAGCCGCCTGAGGGCGGATTAGAGAGGGAGGAGAACACACAGTCATTTGTGCTGAAAGAAACAGTTGGTGTGTGGATAAAACCAGAAGCAGCCTCGATGAATAAACGCTGCACGAAGCAGCAGCTGTGAGGAGCAATGAGGAGGACGTGACCTTGCTCACATCAACACATGACACGAACATAAAGGTCTGACTTCATCATCTTCTCCATCAGGGTTTCCATCGTTTACCTCCATCAGCCAATGAGCTTGTGTTCTCACGGCGGCAGCAGCAGGTTGGGTTTGAGCTGCGTGTTGAAGGAAATTTGGCAACGTGTTTCTGCTGCCCCCCCGTGGCCAAAAGGAGGTCTGGCTGCAGGTTTAAGGCTTTTTAATCCCCTCTGAGGAACTGACTTCGGTGCTTTCTAAGACCTGAGGCCGGCAGACTGGACCGGGCCGGTTAATCCTGCAGCTCTGACTCACCTGAGCCAAGCAGCTGCAACTACAGGCGCCACATCGCTCACATTTCCCAGAGTTCATTGGCCCCCGTCAGAGGCTTAACAGACCCCCGAAATGTTGCCCCCCCCCCCCGCCTTTGTCTGGGCCTGCCGGGGGCGAGCCTCAGGCGGGATGTGAGGGGAGAGAGAGAGACCCCCCCCAAAATCCCCTACCACCGAGCCCCGAGCTCATTTCTGCAGAGCTGAAATCTATGGCTGCCCTGGAGGGGGGTCACAACCACAACAAAGCTCCGGGCAGATACTGACCCCCTTCACTCAACTCCGGTCACATTCACTGGATCAGAGAGGAGGGTGTTCATGGAACAGCAGACACACACGGGACGTTTTGGGCCTGCTCAGTTGCCGTATGAGATATTCAGCAGGATATTTGTTACAGTTTGTCATTGACCTTACAGACGCGGCGCCGCCTTCAGACGTGAACCTGCTGTCTGTCTCCTGTCTAAACAAACACTAACGGCACGGCTGCTTACCTCCAATTAGAGCCGCACAATGAAACAGAACTGATAATTATCAAGATAGAATTTTACTCAACAACAAAATAACAAATATTTGAGTTTATTTAAATCACCAACAAATCAGAACTTAATTCTTTTATTTAGACATTTATCTTGTTGAGGAAAACAGATTTAATGAGAATAGTTCTGAAGGTTCTCGGGTTTGTTCTGAGCAGAGAGAAAAACCTTTAAACTCAACTAAAGATTATCCTTATCGACTGATGTGAAATGTTTCATCGTGATTTTACTGGAGGTTTTCCTGACGTCTTACCTCTGCGCTGGCCGCCGCGCTTCCAGGGGAGTCCAGCTTGCGTTTCTTGCGTGGCCCGATGGCGGCGAGGGCCGTGAGGTTGGCGTCTCGTTGTCGCATCTGAGCCAACTCCTGCTGCTGCATCTGTGGAGGAAGACAAACAGAGAGCACGTCGGTTACACCGCCAACATCAGCAGGACTGTGTTACAGTGTGTGTGTGTGTGTGTGTGTTACAGTGTGTGTGTGTGTGTGTGTGTTACAGTGTGTGTGTGTGTGTGTGTGTGTTACAGTGTGTGTGTGTGTGTGTGTGTTACAGTGTGTGTGTGTGTGTGTGTTACAGTGTGTGTGTGTGTGTGTGTGTGTGTTACAGTGTGTGTGTGTGTGTTACAGTGTGTGTGTGTGTGTGTACAGTGTGTGTGTGTGTGTGTGTTACAGTGTGTGTTTCTGTGTGTGTTAGTGTTACTGTGTGTGTTTCTGTGTGTGTTAGTGTTACTGTGTGTGTTTCTGTGTGTGTTAGTGTTACTGTGTGTGTTTCTGTGTGTGTTAGTGTTACTGTGTGTGTGTTTGTGTGTGTTAGTGTTACAGTGTGTGTGTTTGTGTGTGTTAGTGTTACAGTGTGTGTGTTTGTGTGTGTTAGTGTTACAGTGTGTGTGTTAGTGTTTGTTACTGTGTGTGTGTGTTAGTGTTACTGTGTGTGTGTGTTAGTGTTACAGTGTGTGTGTTTGTGTGTGTTAGTGTTACAGTGTGTGTGTGTTAGTGTTTGTTACTGTGTGTGTGTTAGTGTTTGTTACTGTGTGTGTGTGTTAGTGTTACTGTGTGTGTGTTAGTGTTTGTTACTGTGTGTGTGTGTTAGTGTTACTGTGTGTGTGTTTGTGTGTGTTAGTGTTACAGTGTGTGTGTTTGTGTGTGTTAGTGTTACAGTGTGTGTGTTTGTGTGTGTTAGTGTTACAGTGTGTGTGTTTGTGTGTGTTAGTGTTACAGTGTGTGTGTTAGTGTTTGTTACTGTGTGTGTGTGTTAGTGTTACTGTGTGTGTGTGTTAGTGTTACAGTGTGTGTGTTTGTGTGTGTTAGTGTTACAGTGTGTGTGTGTTAGTGTTTGTTACTGTGTGTGTGTGTTAGTGTTTGTTACTGTGTGTGTGTGTTAGTGTTACTGTGTGTGTTTGTGTGTGTTAGTGTTACAGTGTGTGTGTGTTTGTGTGTGTTAGTGTTACAGTGTGTGTGTGTTAGTGTTTGTTACTGTGTGTGTGTGTTAGTGTTACAGTGTGTGTGTTTTGTGTGTTAGTGTTACAGTGTGTGTGTTTGTGTGTGTTAGTGTTACAGTGTGTGCGTGTTTGTGTGTGTTAGTGTTACAGTGTGTGCGTGTTTGTGTGTGTTAGTGTTACAGTGTGTGCGTGTTAGTGTGTGTTAGTGTTACAGTGTGTGCGTGTTAGTGTGTGTTAGTGTTACTGTGTGTGTGTGTTAGTGTTACAGTGTGTGTGTGTGTGTTACAGTGTGTGTGTGTGTGTTACAGTGTGTGTGTGTGTGTTACAGTGTGTGTGTGTGTGTGTGTTACAGTGTGTGTGTGTGTGTGTTACAGTGTGTGTGTGTGTGTGTTACAGTGTGTGTGTGTGTGTGTTACAGTGTGTGTGTGTTACAGTGTGTGTGTGTGTGTGTTACAGTGTGTGTGTGTGTTACAGTGTGTGTGTGTGTGTGTTACAGTGTGTGTGTGTGTTACAGTGTGTGTGTGTGTGTGTGTGTGTGTGTGTTTCTGTGTGTGTTAGTGTTACTGTGTGTGTGTTTGTGTGTGTTAGTGTTACAGTGTGTGTGTTTGTGTGTGTTAGTGTTACAGTGTGTGTGTGTTAGTGTTTGTTACTGTGTGTGTGTGTTAGTGTTACAGTGTGTGTGTGTTAGTGTGTGTTACTGTGTGTGTGTTAGTGTGTGTTAGTGTTACAGTGTGTGTGTGTTAGTGTTTGTTACAGTGTGTGTGTGTTAGTGTGGATCAATTAGGTTTCATTCATCTTTATTTTTTATATTTTCAAACACCATCTGCTGAAGATCACGTGACGCGACCGAGAGCCAGAACAGCTGTTAAATGGACTCGGAGGGGAAACTTTAGCCCTCCAGTTTTTCCTCCCGTATTTCACCATTATTTCCTGATGTTCTCCCATTTAAACATTTGCCCATAATTCTCCCGGATCTGCCACTCCCCCTCCCTCCCCCCTCCATTTTCTCTCTGCACCAGTAACCTCTCATCACAACCGAAGCATGTGTGGAAGTGATCAATAACTTCTGTAACCTCATGCAGTAATACCCATATATGAACCTGTCAGGGCTGAACGTTCTGTGTTTTCATTCAGGTAACGCAGGTGTTCGAGCCAGGGATCCCCCTCTGACCACCTGACCGTACACGCTAACCTAATCGTTGACAGGTTTGGTTTGTGAACACGCTGAGAGAAGTGAATATGAAAACACGCACGTACCTCTTTAGCCTTCTGCTTCAGGCGAGCCTGTTCTGGATCTTCTTGTCTGGCGCGACTCTGAAACAAAACAGAGATTTTATCTTTAAACACAAGACGTTTATTTTCCCCTCACCAACCTTAACCTGATGCATAAATCAACTACCATGTAAGATCAGTATAACTATGTAATAACTGGTTTCTGACAGACTATAATGTATCTGTAAGAAATAATGAATGTATTAGTTAATTACTGTAACTCCTCCTGCTGCCGAATGACAAACAGTAAAACAGCTGTTATAATATATATAATAAACTTGTGTTTCTAAGATTTATTTTTATTTATTTTAGTTAACCTTTATTTAACCAGGAGAGTCCCATTGAGATTAAGAACCTCTTTTGGGGTGACCTGGCCAAGACAGGCAGCAGTACAGGTGCTGGTCATATAATTAGAATATCATCAAAAAGTTGATTTCTTTCAGTAATTCCATTCAAAAAGTGAAACTTGTATAATGTATACATTCATTCCACACAGACTGATATATTTCTATATATTTATGTTCATTCCTTTTAATTTTGATGAATATAACTGACAACTAATTAAAACCCCAAAATCAGTATCTCAGAAAATTAGAATATTGTGAAAAGGTTCAATATTGAAGACACCTGGTGCCACACTCTAATCAGCGAATTAACTCAAAACACCTGCAAAGGCCTTTAAATGGTCTGTCAGTCTAGTTCTGTAGGCTACACAATCATGGGGAAGACTGCTGACTTGACAGCTGTCCAAAAGACGACCACTGACACCTTGCACAAGGAGGGCAAGACACAGAAGGTCATTGCTAAAGAGGCTGGCTGTTCACAGAGCTCTGTGTCCAAGCACATTAATAGAGAGGCCAAGGGAAGGAAAAGATGTGGTAGAAAAAAGTGTACAAGCAATAGGGATAACCGCACCCTGGAGAGGATTGTGAAACAAAATCCATTCAAAAATGTGGGGGAGATTCACAAAGAGTGGGCTGTAGCTGGAGTCAGTGCTTCAAGAACCACCACGCACAGACATATGCAAGACATGGGTTTCAGCTGTCGCACTCCTTGTGCCAAGCCACTCTTGAACAAGACACAGCGTCAGAAGCGTCTCGCCTGGGCTAAAGACAAAAAGACTGGACTGCTGCTGAGTGGTCCAAAGTTATGTTCTCTGATCCCAGAGTCAGAGTCTGGAGGAAGAGAGGAGAGGCACAGAATCCATGTTGCTTGAAGTCCAGTGTAAAGTTTCCACAGTCAGTGATGGTTTGGGGTGCCATGTCATCTGCTGGTGTTGGTCCACTGTGTTTTCTGAGGTCCAAGGTCAACGCAGCCGTCTACCAGGAAGTTTTAGAGCACTTCATTCTTCCTGCTGCTGACCAACCTTATGGAGATGCAGATTTCATTTTCCAACAGGACTTGGCACCTGCACACAGTGCCAAAGCTACCAGTACCTGGTTTAAGGACCACGGTGTCCCTGTTCTTAATTGGCCAGCAAACTGGCCTGACCTTAACCCTATAGAAAATCTATGGGGTATTGTGAAGAGGAAGATGCGATATGCCAGACCCAACAATGCAGAAGAGCTGAAGGCCACTATCAGAGCAACCTGGGCTCTCATAACACCTGAGCAGGGCCACAGACTGATGGACTCCATGCCACGCCGCATTGCTGCAGTAATTCAGGCAAAAGGAGCCCCAACTAAGTACTGAGTGCTGTACATGCTCATACTTTTCAGTTGGCCAACATTTCTAAAAATTCTTTTTTGTATTGGTATTAAGTAATATTCTAATTTTCGGAGATACTGAATTGGGGGTTTTCATTAGTTGTCAATTATAATCATCATGAAATATATCAGTCTGTGTGGAATGAATGTATACATTATACAAGTTTCACTTTTTGAATGGAATTACTGAAATAAATCAACTTTTTGATGATATCCTAATTATATGACCAGCACCTGTATATAAATAATACAAACACAGCTACAGACAAATAACACAGAAGACTGGTAAGCTAACATTTCATAAAGTCATTTTAAATCATATTTACAATCTAAGAGTATTTACATATTAAGGCATCTGCCTCTAAGTCTTTCATTTTGGATTTAAATGCATTTAGTGAGTTAAAAGTCCTTTTGCAACGTATTCCACGCTGAAGGTGCAGAATACACAAATGTCTTCTTTCCCGTGTCTGCACGGGTATTTGGCACAGAGAGCATAAAGAAGTCCTGAGAACGCAAAGAGCGTCGCCCGTTACTTTTCTGCATGATATGAACACATAGGTAGCTTGGCAGCAGACCAAAAATTGCCTTGTATATGAATGTGTACCAATGACAGAGCCTTCTGGTGGCCAGAGGAGGCCACCTACCCGACAGTATAGCTCATAGTGGTTATTCAGCGCTTTGCAATTTGTAAGCTATGTCAATCATGTGAAGACTCTGTGCAGAGGTATGCATATATAAAAGATCACCATAGTCCAGAACAGATAAAAAAGTGGTGGCCACAAGTCGCTTTTTTTACATTAAAAGAAAAATACTACTTATTTTGAAAATAAAAGTCCAGTTTTAGTCTCTATTTAGCCCTATGTTTTGTGGCCTGATCCTGGATTTGGTAAACAACATAAGTTTGGTCTTATCTGCATTTAGAACCAATTTCAGCTGCATAAGGGTATTTTGGACTTCGATAAACACGTTTTGCAAATATTCAATTGCTTGTATGAGAGTTGACGTACAGCAACATATGACAGTATCATCAGCATAAAAATTAAGATTAGCATTTGACACACATTGTTTATATAAATAGTGAATAAAAGTGGACCTAATACAGAGCCTTGTGGTACACCCTTAGTAAGTGCTACAGTAGTGGAGATCTATTGCTAAGGTAGTTTGAGAACCAACCGACTGCTTGCTCTGAAAGTCCTGAGTTAATAAGTTTTAAAACTTCATGATCAACAGTATCGAAAGCTTTGGAGAGATAAAACATTTGTCAAAATGATTCCGAAATATTGATCATCTAATTTTAATCGAGGAAAGCACTCCGATGTGAAATGCAGCATGTTTTATCGCTTTGTATTGAACTAATTGAACCTTTTAAGTTTTTGAAAGTATTTGTGTTGATGTTCTACAAGTTTATTGCAATTATGTTTTTTTTCATAACTCTGATTGCTATGAGTTGAATTGTGAATTTCATTTGAGACTTTTACACAATAATAAAGACAGCTGACATGATTAGTTAATCAATCAGTCAATCAACGAAGTATCTATTTTTGCCAAAATGAGACGCTGGTTTCAACTTTTCAAACGTGGGGATGTTCTGCTTTATGTCCCTCTGGGTTTACAGGATTAACCATTTACTGATTCTGAGCAGTCTGACACAGATCGGTCCAGAAACATGGCCGCCATCAACCAGAATGTCTTCGCAAAGGGGCGTGGCTTAACACGTAAACAGACCAAAGTCCAAAGCAACCACTGGGCCAATCATCACAAATCTCACAGGATATGTTCATAACACTGTGGAACCACACGTGTGTGAAACTGTTTGGAAATCATTACTATTTTTATTGATGATTGGATTTTTACATTACTATTTTACATCTCTGTGTGTTCACCGTGTTGTGCAGCCTAGCCGGGTCCATGAAATGTGCAATGAGGTAACTTCTGTTACGAACTGAGGCTACACAGATAAATAATCAGCTGCGTGTCTAATGATGACGCAGTTTCTGTAATTATCTCTGCTGTCATGTGTGAAAGGACACCTCTAATCTGTGTGTCTGTCTGCTGACGGCTTTCTTAGATTTCAAAGATTCAAAAGCTCAAATCACATCATGCAGGTGAGAAAACAAAACTGCTTGAAAGGAAGATAAAGACGGAGGTGAACTGAAAAGGAGTGTTGTTGCAGAGTTTATCTCACATGATTTGTTTTATGTCTTTTATTTTCAGACGCTGTTCATTTATTTATAATTTAATATTTTGTAGTTTATGTGAATTTCTTTGTCCTTTGTGTAAAAGCGCTGAGAGGAGCGACCGTGAACATGTGCATGAGTTCGGACCTTTGCAGCCTTCAGCAGAATCTCTCTCTCTTGTTCGTCTTTCCTCTGTTTCTCCATTCGCTCCAGCTGCTCGAAGAAACGAAGCTGGGAGCGAACGTCTGAGGACTGTTCGTGGAGATCTTCATCCTGACGGAGAGGAGGAGGAGGAGGAGCAGAGAACAAAGATGAAGGACAGGAAAAGAAACAAAAAGCACATTTATATTTTAATCATTAACCATTTGGCGTTAACCAAACCCCTCTCTCACGTATACAGTTAGTGCAAAACTCGGCTTCTCGTCTTTTGACCAGAACTCGAAAGCATGAACACATCACACCAGTCCTGACTTTGCTACACTGGCTCCCGGTCAGTTTTAAAATACATTTTTAGATCCTATTGTTTGTTTTTAAGTCACTGACCTCTTACAAGTCTAAAGCCCCTGATCAACTTAGGCTGGTCTCTTGAAAAAAACAGGTTAAAACCAGGGGCGACTGCACTTTTTCAGCAGCAAACTGTGGAATGAGCTACCTCCTCGGTTTCCTTTCCTGATGAATGTAAAAGCGTAATGAAAGGCTGAACTTGCAGTCAACATGATTTATTGACCTGAAATTTAACAGCCAGTTTTAGCTTTTAGGAGATTCAGGCTTGTTGATTCATAATCATAAAGAAGCAGGTAATTCTGATCTGACCTGAGACAGAGAAACAACATATTAACAGTTCTTAGGTTTACATGAGCTGATTTCAAAATTTTACCACGATAAAATATTTCACCTCATGCAATATCGATTATTCTTATGTATTCTTATGTATAATGATTTGACATGTCAAATCATTATAAGGCAGAATTTTGCCCCTGAGTGAAAGTTGAAGAAACCAGATGGTTAATTGTGGTTTTAAACAAACACTTAATGCCAAACAGTGGATCCAGTGTTTCCCAGATGTTCATTTGTGACAGCCCGCCACAATATCAATGCTGACCGCCGCATATTGATTTTTTTTTACTAGGCCTATTTTAAATCGTATTTGATTGCAGAGCACTGAAGGGCATTCACGCAGCACATCCTCTCGCTCGTCCCTAGTTCGCTCGTCCCTCTCTCTCCCTCATAAACGCAGCTGCACAAATCTGTCCAACACAATGCTGTCGGACACCCAGCTTAAAAAAAAAAAAAATAGTTATTAGCAAGCATGTAAGGAGCCTAGCTGAGCTGTCGAGGTTAGCACGTTGTTTATAGCTGGTGCCACAGTTTCACTGTCATTCTGTGATCCCACAGAATGACAGTGAAACTGTGGAATATATGAAACATTTGTTATATTGTTAGGCTATTGAGGAAAATTATATTGAATAATTATCATTATTGTGTTATTGCGCAGCCCTGCTGGTACTTGGTACTGCTGGTACCTGCTGGCTCACGGCTGCATGAAAGGCACCGAGATTCTACCTGCTCCGTCTCCACCGACAGAGACTAGCAAACAGGCGAGAATGGGAATAGATCAGTGCCACATAGAGCCCCCGCTGTGCAAGAAAAGTCCCTGCACGCCAGTGGTGGCCCACTTCAAGCACTGCCCATTATCAAAATTGACACCACTTATCTGTGAAGCCGTACTCTACCGGTGGATTACATTCTGAAAAAAATGGCCTTGTTACGTTGGCAAAGGTCCAGACGATCCTACACAAATACAAAAAACGTCTCGCGCCTGAATTCCGGCACAGCGCCGGAGAACTGTAAGCCCTGTGTTAAAGAGAGTGAAACTCCCCCCCGAATTAACTAAAGTGGAAAAACTAGTAAAGTACCAGCTCAAAGAAAACTGTGTTTGTGGGTTAAACAGGGAATGAAACATCTGGTCTGTAACGATCCCTGCAGTGAAGGAGTGAGTTCTTGCCTTTCCCCCGTCTGTGCGGTGCTGAGCGACGGCTGAAACCTTCTCCAGCAGCGAGCGCAGTCTGGACTGGGTGGCGTGGGAGATGAAGTTCACCACCTCCAGCGGCACCTCGGTCACGCCCAGCTTCTTAGCTGAGGACGAGAGGAGGAGCAGCACGATCAGAAACACGGTTCCCTCCACATCACATCAGAGTACATTGACATGTATTTGTTGTGTACTTGTACACATTATCCAGGAAACTCACAGTCTACCTGCAGGTCTCTGCCCAGGTGAACTTCCTGTTAAAACACCTGAGGTCTGTGCTTAGTGCAGCCTCTCTTTATGATCGGTCAATCTGCTGATTATTGTCGACTCTAAAAGAGGCAAACTTTGATTTTGGGCTGTAAACGTACAACTTTTATTAACAGTCGGGCTTTTCTTTGCTTCAATCACTGAACTCAGCCGGGTTACATTTAGGCCAGGCCTTTAATTCCTTTCTGAAATCTGAAACATGAATTAGACTTTGGTGCTCGTTGTTTCTGTAAAATTAACTAAACAATATTGTGGAGAATCTAACGGCTCATGTCTGTACTGAAACAAGTTTAAACATTTATATTTGTCAGCATGATGTAAGCAGCTTAGAAGCAGCTGAAGCAGGCGACCCGGTGGGTTTTAAGAGGTTTAATACATCTACACACCAGGCCAGTAAGAGGGACGGGAGGCTGACTTAATTCAAGTTTTACAGTAAATAACACTGACTTGACTTGTGAAATCTGTCCATTCTAATTTTGCAGAGCACAGCGTGACATCTTTGAGTTTCCTGTTTCGTCCAAACAAGAGTCCAAAACCCAAAGACGAGCAGCACGTTCACCCACAACCCTCCCTGTTTCTCACAGTGTGCTTTATAAATAAACTTACTACTACTAATAATACTACCACCTCCTCTGGAGACCCGATATTTCTTCCTGATCTATAAAGACTCCTTAAACAACACCTTTCTTGTGCGATGGTTAAACTCACTCAGACGTTTTTACAGAGAGATCATCTGGCGTGTTTTGTTTTGGCGGTGGATGTTTCCTCTCTGAGCTCCTCCAGGCTACACGTTTGTCCTTGGACTAATTTTAGACTCAAACTGTCTGTGTGCTTTCACTAAAGTCTGCTCCAGGTCAGGAGGCGAGAGAGAACACCGCCATGTTCAAAAAGAACTGACAAGAAGAAACAGATCAAACCTCTCTGGGCCTCAGACCTCTCTCTCAGTAGGAGCAGTAGTACTCTTAGAGGCACAGAATACTATATAACAATACTGTGTGAGTATTTTCAGTATTTTTTTATCAATCAGGTTTTCTTGTGCACAAATTTCACAAGTTTCTTTTTTCTGTAGAGCTGATCAGAGCTGTGACAGCCAGCCAGGTGCCAGCCCGACAACTGACAGACAGAAAGGTGACAGCCCGACAACTGACAGACAGAAAGGTGCCAGCCAGACAACTGACAGACAGAAAGGTGACAGCCCGACAGATGACAGACAGGTGACAGCCCGACAGATGACAGACAGACAGGTGACAGCCCGACAACTGACAGCCAGAAAGGTGCCAGCCAGCCAGGTGACAGCCAGACAACCGACAGCTCGACAACTGACAGACAGAAAGGTGACAGCCCGACAACTGACAGACAGAAAGGTGCCAGCCAGCCAGGTGCCAGCCAGACAACTGACAGACAGAAAGGTGCCAGCCCGACAACTGACAGACAGAAAGGTGCCAGCCAGCCAGGTGACAGCCCGACAACTGACAGAAAGAAAGGTGCCAGCCCGACAACTGACAGAAAGAAAGGTGCCAGCCCGACAACTGACAGAAAGAAAGGTGACAGCCCGACAACTGACAGACAGACAGGTGACAGCCCGACAACTGACAGCCAGACAGGTGACAGCCCGACAACTGACAGCCAGACAACTGACAGCCAGCCAGGTGCCAGCCCGACAACTAACAGCCAGCCAGGTGCCAGCCCGACAACTGACAGCCCGACAACTGACAGACAGAAAGGTGCCAGCCCGACAACTGACAGAAAGAAAGGTGACAGCCCGACAACTGACAGACAGCCAGGTGCCAGCCCGACAACTGACAGCCAGAAAGGTGCCAGCCCGACAACTGACAGCCAGCCAGGTGACAGCCCGACAACTGACAGCCAGCCAGGTGACAGCCCGACAACTGACAGCCCGACAACTGACAGCCCGACAACTGACAGCCAGCCAGGTGCCAGCCAGACAACTGACAGACAGAAAGGTGCCAGCCCGACAACTGACAGACAGAAAGGTGCCAGCCCGACAACTGACAGACAGAAAGGTGCCAGCCCGACAACTGACAGACAGCCAGGTGCCAGCCCGACAACTGACAGACAGAAAGGTGCCAGCCCGACAACTGACAGCCAGCCAGGTGCCAGCCCGACAACTGACAGCCAGCCAGGTGCCAGCCCGACAACTGACAGCCAGCCAGGTGCCAGCCCGACAACTGACAGACAGAAAGGTGCCAGCCCGACAACTGACAGACAGAAAGGTGCCAGCCAGCCAGGTGACAGCCCGACAGATGACAGACAGAAAGGTGCCAGCCAGCCAGGTGACAGCTCGACAACTGACAGCCAGCCAGGTGACAGCCCGACAACTGACAGCCCGACAACTGACAGCCAGCCAGGTGCCAGCCCGACAACTGACAGACAGAAAGGTGCCAGCCCGACAACTGACAGACAGAAAGGTGCCAGCCCGACAACTGACAGACAGAAAGGTGCCAGCCAGCCAGGTGACAGCCCGACAGATGACAGACAGAAAGGTGCCAGCCAGCCAGGTGACAGCTCGACAACTGACAGCCAGCCAGGTGACAGCCCGACAACTGACAGACAGAAAGGTGCCAGCCAGCCAGGTGACAGCCCGACAGATGACAGACAGAAAGGTGCCAGCCAGCCAGGTGACAGCTCGACAACTGACAGACAGAAAGGTGACAGCCAGCCAGGTGACAGCTCGACAACTGACAGCCAGCCAGGTGACAGCCCGACAGCTGACAGACAGAAAGGTGCCAGCCAGCCAGGTGACAGCTCGACAACTGACAGACAGAAAGGTGACAGCCAGCCAGGTGACAGCCCGACAACTGACAGACAAAGGTGACAGCCAGCCAGGTGACAGCCCGACAGATGACAGACAGAAAGGTGCCAGCCAGCCAGGTGACAGCTCGACAACTGACAGACAGAAAGGTGACAGCCAGCCAGGTGACAGCTCGACAACTGACAGCCAGCCAGGTGACAGCCCGACAGCTGACAGACAGAAAGGTGCCAGCCAGCCAGGTGACAGCTCGACAACTGACAGACAGAAAGGTGACAGCCAGCCAGGTGACAGCCCGACAACTGACAGACAAAGGTGACAGCCAGCCAGGTGACAGCCCGACAGAAAGGTGACAGCCTGCCAACTGACAGCCAGCCAGGTGACAGCCAGACAACTGACAGACAGAAAGGTGCCAGCCAGCCAGGTGCCAGCCAGCCAACTGACAGACAGAAAGGTGCCAGCCCGACAACTGACAGCCAGCCAGGTGACAGCTCGACAACTGACAGCCAGCCAGGTGACAGCTCGACAACTGACAGACAGAAAGGTGACAGCCAGCCAGGTGACAGCCCGACAACTGACAGACAAAGGTGACAGCCAGCCAGGTGACAGCCCGACAGAAAGGTGACAGCCTGCCAACTGACAGCCAGCCAACTGACAGCCAGCCAGGTGACAGCCAGACAACTGACAGACAGACAACTGACAGACAGAAAGGTGCCAGCCAGACAACTGACAGACAGAAAGGTGCCAGCCAGACAACTGACAGACAGCCCGGCTGGCTGGCACCTGGCACAACTGACAGCCAGCCAGGTGCCAGCCAGACAACTGACAGACAGAAAGGTGCCAGCCAGCCAGGTGCCAGCCAGCCAACTGACAGCCAGAAAGGTGCCAGCCAGACAACTGACAGCCAGAAAGGTGCCAGCCCGACAGATGACAGCCAGCCAGGTGCCAGCCCGACAGATGACAGCCAGCCAGGTGCCAGCCCGACAGATGACAGCCAGCCAGGTGCCAGCCCGACAGATGACAGCCAGCCAGGTGCCAGCCAGACAACTGACAGCCAGAAAGGTGCCAGCCAGACAACTGACAGCCAGAAAGGTGCCAGCCAGACAACTGACAGCCAGAAAGGTGCCAGCCCGACAGATGACAGCCAGCCAGGTGCCAGCCCGACAGATGACAGCCAGCCAGGTGCCAGCCCGACAGATGACAGCCAGCCAGGTGCCAGCCCGACAACTGACAGACAGAAAGGTGCCAGCCCGACAACTGACAGACAGAAAGGTGCCAGCCCGACAGGTGACAGCCCGACAACTGACAGACAGACAGGTGACAGCCCGACAGATGACAGACAGAAAGGTGACAGCCCGACAACTGACAGACAGAAAGGTGACAGCCCGACAGGTGACAGACAGAAAGGTGACAGACAGAAAGGTGACAGCCCGACAGATGACAAACAGACAGGTGACAGCCCGACAGACAGACAGGTGACAGACAGAAAGGTGACAGCCCGACAGGTGACAAACAGACAGGTGACAGCCCGACAGACAGACAGGTGACAGACAGAAAGGCGACAGCCCGACAACTGACAGACAGACAGGTGACAGCCCGACAGGTGACAAACAGACAGGTGACAGCCCGACAGACAGACAGGTGACAGACAGAAAGGTGACAGCCCGACAGATGACAGACAGACAGGTGACAGACAGGTGACAGATAGACAGACAGAAAGGTGCCAGCCAGCCAGGTGCCAGCCAGACAACTGACAGACAGAAAGGTGCCAGCCCGACAGATGACAGACAGAAAGGTGACAGCCAGCCAGGTGACAGCTCGACAACTGACAGCCAGAAAGGTGACAGCTCGACAACTGACAGACAGAAAGGTGACAGCTCGACAACTGACAGCCAGCCAGGTGACAGCTCGACAACTGACAGCCAGCCAGGTGACAGCTCGACAACTGACAGACAGAAAGGTGACAGCCAGCCAGGTGACAGCCCGACAACTGACAGACAAAGGTGACAGCCAGCCAGGTGACAGCCCGACAGAAAGGTGACAGCCTGCCAACTGACAGCCAGCCAACTGACAGCCAGCCAGGTGACAGCCAGACAACTGACAGACAGACAACTGACAGACAGAAAGGTGCCAGCCAGCCAACTGACAGACAGAAAGGTGCCAGCCAGACAACTGACAGACAGCCCGGCTGGCTGGCACCTGGCACAACTGACAGCCAGCCAGGTGCCAGCCAGACAACTGACAGACAGAAAGGTGCCAGCCAGCCAGGTGCCAGCCAGCCAACTGACAGCCAGAAAGGTGCCAGCCAGACAACTGACAGCCAGAAAGGTGCCAGCCCGACAGATGACAGCCAGAAAGGTGCCAGCCCGACAGATGACAGCCAGCCAGGTGCCAGCCCGACAGATGACAGCCAGCCAGGTGCCAGCCAGACAACTGACAGCCAGAAAGGTGCCAGCCCGACAGATGACAGCCAGCCAGGTGCCAGCCCGACAGATGACAGCCAGCCAGGTGCCAGCCAGACAACTGACAGCCAGAAAGGTGCCAGCCAGACAACTGACAGCCAGAAAGGTGCCAGCCAGACAACTGACAGCCAGAAAGGTGCCAGCCCGACAGATGACAGCCAGCCAGGTGCCAGCCCGACAGATGACAGCCAGCCAGGTGCCAGCCCGACAACTGACAGACAGAAAGGTGCCAGCCCGACAACTGACAGACAGAAAGGTGCCAGCCAGCCAGGTGACAGCCCGACAACTGACAGACAGACAGGTGACAGCCCGACAGATGACAGACAGAAAGGTGACAGCCCGACAGATGACAGACAGAAAGGTGACAGCCCGACAACTGACAGACAGAAAGGTGACAGCCCGACAGGTGACAAACAGACAGGTGACAGCCCGACAGATGACAGACAGACAGGTGACAGCCCGACAGATGACAGCCAGCCAGGTGCCAGCCCGACAACTGACAGACAGAAAGGTGCCAGCCAGCCAGGTGACAGCCCGACAACTGACAGACAGACAGGTGACAGCCCGACAGATGACAGACAGAAAGGTGACAGCCCGACAACTGACAGACAGAAAGGTGACAGCCCGACAGGTGACAAACAGACAGGTGACAGCCCGACAGACAGACAGGTGACAGACAGACAGACAGGTGACAGACAGAAAGGTGACAGCCCGACAGGTGACAGACAGACAGGTGACAGCCCGACAGATGACAGACAGACAGGTGACAGACAACTGACAGACAGACAAGTGACAGACAGACAGACAGGTGACAGACAGGTGACAGACAGGTAAGAGTACCTGTGTCCAGGATGCGGCGGTGCAGCAGGCCAGTAGGCAGGAAGGACTCATCTTTACAGGATCGGATCTTTGTGCCGACCAGCTCTGAGCTGGTTGCTAGGATACGTGCGTTTTCCTCGTTAAGGTTGACGCCAGCCATGGACGCCACGTCATTGATGTCATCGTCGTCTCTGAGGCCGACAGAAGCAGAGCAGACGCGTTAGGCAGACTGTTGGCGCAACGTGAACAGCTACCTCTCCGGTTGCAGTCTAGCCAACCTGTCAGCAGCGGTAGTCCTTTGCCACACTCCCCGCCGCCTCCCCGACGCCTCCCAGCCACTTCTCCGCCGCCTCCCAGCCACTTTTCCGCTACCTCACTACCACCTCCCAGCCACTTTTCCGCTACCTCACTACCACCTCTCCGCCGCCACCTCACTACCACCTCCCAGCCACCTCTCCGCCGCCTCCCAGCCACTTTTCCGCTACCTCACTACCACCTCTCCGCCGCCTCCCAGCCACCTCTCCGCCGCCACCTCACTACCACCTCCCAGCCACCTCCCAGCCACCTCTCCGCCGCCACCTCACTACCACCTCTCCGCCGCCACCTCACTACCACCTCTCCGCCGCCTCCCAGCCACTTTTCCGCTACCTCACTACCACCTCCCAGCCACCTCTCCGCCGCCTCCCAGCCACCTCTCCGCCGCCACCTCACTACCACCTCCCAGCCACCTCCCAGCCACCTCTCCGCCGCCACCTCACTACCACCTCCCAGCCACCTCCCAGCCACCTCTCCGCCGCCACCTCACTACCACCTCCCAGCCACCTCTCCGCCGCCACCTCACTACCACCTCCCAGCCACCTCCCAGCCACTTTTCCGCTACCTCACTACCACCTCCCAGCCACCTCCCAGCCACTTTTCCGCTACCTCACTACCACCTCCCAGCCACCTCCCAGCCGCCTCCCAGCCACTTTTCCGCTACCTCACTACCACCTCCCAGCCACCTCCCAGCCACTTTTCCGCTACCTCACTACCACCTCCCAGCCACTTTTCCGCTACCTCACTACCACCTCCCAGCCACTTTTCCGCTACCTCACTACCACCTCTCCGCCGCCTCCCAGCCACTTTTCCGCTACCTCACTACCACCTCCCAGCCACCTCTCTGCCGCCTCCCAGCCACTTTTCCGCTACCTCACTACCACCTCCCAGCCACCTCTCTGCCGCCTCCCAGCCACTTTTCCGCTACCTCACTACCACCTCTCCGCCGCCTCCCAGCCACTTTTCCGCTACCTCACTACCACCTCCCCGCCGCCTCCCAGCCACTTTTCCGCTACCTCACTACCACCTCCCAGCCACCTCTCCGCCGCCTCCCAGCCACCTCTCCGCCGCCTCCCAGCCACCTCTCCGCCGCCACCTCACTACCACCTCCCAGCCACCTCCCAGCCACCTCTCCGCCGCCACCTCACTACCACCTCCCAGCCACCTCCCAGCCACCTCTCCGCCGCCACCTCACTACCACCTCCCAGCCACCTCTCCGCCGCCACCTCACTACCACCTCCCAGCCACCTCCCTGCCGCCTCCCAGCCACTTTTCCGCTACCTCACTACCACCTCCCAGCCACCTCTCCGCCGCCTCCCAGCCACTTTTCCGCTACCTCACTACCACCTCCCAGCCACCTCCCAGCCACTTTTCCGCTACCTCACTACCACCTCCCAGCCACTTTTCCGCTACCTCACTACCACCTCCCAGCCACTTTTCCGCTACCTCACTACCACCTCTCCGCCGCCTCCCAGCCACTTTTCCGCTACCTCACTACCACCTCCCAGCCACCTCTCTGCCGCCTCCCAGCCACTTTTCCGCTACCTCACTACCACCTCCCAGCCACCTCCCAGCCGCCTCCCAGCCACTTTTCCGCTACCTCACTACCACCTCCCAGCCACCTCTCTGCCGCCTCCCAGCCACTTTTCCGCTACCTCACTACCACCTCCCAGCCACCTCTCTGCCGCCTCCCAGCCACTTTTCCGCTACCTCACTACCACCTCTCCGCCGCCTCCCAGCCACTTTTCCGCTACCTCACTACCACCTCCCCGCCGCCTCCCAGCCACTTTTCCGCTACCTCACTACCACCTCCCAGCCACCTCTCCGCCGCCTCCCAGCCACCTCTCCGCCGCCTCCCAGCCACCTCTCCGCCGCCACCTCACTACCACCTCCCAGCCACCTCCCAGCCACCTCTCCGCCGCCACCTCACTACCACCTCCCAGCCACCTCTCCGCCGCCACCTCACTACCACCTCCCCGCCGCCTCCCAGCCACTTTTCCGCTACCTCACTACCACCTCCCAGCCACCTCTCCGCCGCCTCCCAGCCACCTCTCCGCCGCCACCTCACTACCACCTCCCAGCCACCTCTCCGCCGCCACCTCACTACCACCTCCCAGCCACCTCCCAGCCACCTCTCCGCCGCCACCTCACTACCACCTCCCAGCCACCTCTCCGCCGCCACCTCACTACCACCTCCCAGCCACCTCTCCGCCGCCTCCCAGCCACCTCTCCGCCGCCACCTCACTACCACCTCCCAGCCACCTCTCCGCCGCCTCCCACCCACCTCCCACCCACCTCTCCGCTACATCCCATCTACCTCACAGCTTCCTCCAAGTTACCTCCCACCCACCTCTCCGGTACCTCCCGGCTAACATACCACAACCTGACTGCAGCTGGATTACAGCAGCAGACATTTCTAATTACATTTTAGATCCTGCTGTGATCACAGGGATAAAAGGTGTTACTGTGTTCAGGTTTCAGTGAAACATCTTTCTGCTTTTCTTACATTTCATTCTGTCAATTAGTTACGGCAGCGACGTACCTCCTCTTCCTGTTTATATGGGTCTTTTTTTTGTTTCTATTATATCTCGTCTTAACGCCACTTCATGACGCGGCAATATGAACTGCCTTGTTGTTGAGAAAGGAACAAATAAACCTGCCATACCCATTAATAAAGTACTGATGAAAATAAAAGATGAATAAACTCCCAGTGATAGCCGTCCCTCGCCGTGTGGGACTGTGTGTCCTGATTATGACAAATATGGATGGAGCTTTTATCAGAACTGTATCCTTTATAGATCTGATATATCCCAGGATGCATCACTGAAGCCTCCAACAGTAACGAGTACATTAAGACAAATAAAGTCCTGAATGCATTTGATGTGGATAATCTAAGTTTGGATCAGAACTTGTAAGTGTGTGTGGACGGTCTGTCAGACACCAGTGTCTCTCAGCACCGTGTTCACAGGGTGCCCTCTCCTGGCTGATCTGTGAACTGCATGTAGTTTCAGTCTGGAGATCACTGACCGCGCTCCCTTTATCTGACCTGCTCCATCATTTTTTATTCCATCTTCATTTCTTTCCTCATTTTATTCTGTTTTAATAGATTTGAAATTAATATATATATAATATTTTGGTACTGGTCTCGTGCAAAACTCTTCAAATTATGTTTGAAAGGTGCAAAACAAATTCCTGCCAATGAGGTTATACTTTACCTGAATGTCCCGCCCCCCGGGTCACTCAGCTTCCTCTGATTGGCTTGGCCTGCCAGGTAAACAGGACTTTTGCTGATTATAGTGGGTGTGGGTCCCCTTACAAGTGTACCTGAAAAGAAAAACATCTTTCAGCACGTTTTCCCCCAACTCTGGAAAATTCCAAGTTAAAGAAAGTCCAATAATCTTTGCTGTGATGCCCAGAAGGTAGATCGCTGCCACCGATTGGTCGACAGCAGCACTGTGGACTCACCTTGATGTCTGAGAGTCTGGTTGAAGACAACAGGCGTTCGAGTCTGAACAGTCTGGACTAAAGCTCTGCCCGAAGACTGGGGAGGAAGACAGATTTATAGAACAACGTGGGAGTTAGTTTAAGTTCTGGATGAATTGAATGTTGCAGTACAGAGTTTAAACCCGGTCAGGGTCTGAGGCCCACGCCGACGGCACATTTTACAGCAGCATGCGATGATTTCTCACTGTTTCATGTTCAGTGAACATGAAACACCGTCAGTGTTTCTCTCAGGCTGTTTCAGTGTCGTACCAGAGTGTTTGTATGGGGCGGGTTCAGTCTGACGGTCGTGCCGGCCGGACTGACGGGCAGCCGCGGCCTGATGGTGGCGGTGGTGACGGAGCCGGGGGCAGCCAGCGGGGGTGCGGAGGTGCTGGGGGTGGGCGTCACCAGAGACTGCTGGTTGCTGAGCAGAGACTGACGCAGGGCGGGGAGGCTTTTCTGTGGAGCAACAAGACAAGATGGCATCAGGGGTGGACAGGAAGTACTCAGATCTGCCTGAAGTACAGATACTACAGCGTAGAAATACTCAGGAAATACATGACCTTTGCTTTGGCTGGTGAGTAAAGTAAATCTACCAGTGCTACTTGAGTAAAATAAATGTCAAAATAGTTTCAGTAAAAGTACCAGCATCGAAATACACTCCAAAGTACTCATTATGCAGATTGATATGTAGGGCGGCTGAGCGAGAAACCCCCTCTGCTCCTGAAGGCGGTTGGCGTGTGACTGATTAGTTTCTGATCAGCAGTCCGCGCCATGTGACAAGAACAGAGCATTGTTACTGGATTACATTTACTCACGCATCACTTAAACGTCGCCGCCGGAGGAGCTTTCAATCCTTAAACTGATTCATCCGGAATCAAACATCAGAATTCGTTAGTGGATTATATTTTGTTTTAATAAGCTGGCAGAGTCACTTTACAGATTCAGACTCATGTAGTGAAGTAAAAAGTACAACATTTCCTCTAAAATGTGTAGAAGTAACATACAAGTACCTTTGTGTGTATCTGTTATGACTGTGATAGAGCTGCTGCTCGATGAGGAGCTGCAGACGCCACTGAATTATATTAATAACATCTTCAATGACTGAAAAGGAGGAATTATACGTTTGTATTTAAAAAGTCCTTCTGGCAGTTACTCTGTAAAGACTAGTGCAACAGCTGTAGCAGTAACAGAAAGAGTACTGATACTCATGGTACTACTTGTAGTCTGACAGCAGCAGAGTAGTACCACAGTAGCAACAGTAGTAGTAGTGTAATTAATACTAGCAGCCGTAGTAGTAGTCACAGTATTTATACTAACAGAAGAAGTGGAATAAGTTGAATCAAAATAAATCAGCATTTATTTTAATTATGAATCATTAAAATGATTTTCTCAGTTTCAGCTCCTTCATGGTGCAGATCCTGGTTTAGATGATGACTCTGGATTTTGGACTGTTGATCAGACGTGTATCAGTAGTAGCGGTATTAGTAGTACTGCAGTAGTATTAGTAGTACTGCAGCCTGTACTGCGAGCCGTACCTTGAGGAAGGGGATGAGGTAGGGCTGTGGGGAGGACTTCAGCTCAGCCTGCAGCCGAGAGGTGAACTCCTCAGGCTCGATCTTCGCATCCTGAACAAACACAAGGCGGTTAGACTGCAGGTAAAAACGACCCCTCGGGACGAAACCTGCAGGAGGAGGTCGCTTACGAGCAGGTCCTGCACCAGGGCCTTCACATTCTTGGAGGTATCTGGGGAGGGCGAGTTGTGGGACGCCAGCTTGATCAGCGTGGCGAGGAAGTTCTTGCATTTCTTCACGTTCTCCTGCATCTCCTGTTGGGGAAAGGGAGGGTCATTACTGAGCCAACGTTCTGCTGGACGTCTCCGAAACGGTCTGGAAATGTAACCGACCTGGGACACCACGTTGACTCTGCCGGGGGGCGTGGCGGCTGGCGTCGTGCTGTTCACGGGGTTGGACGTGACGCCGGCAGGCTTGGCGACAGGCGCCCCACCCGCTGTTATCACCGTCTGGGCCTTCTGAGGGGTGGTCATTTTCACCGGCACCGCGGCTCCGCTGGGGGCCACCGTGATGGCCTTCTGGGAAACGACAAACGCCATCAAGGAGAGAAACCACCAGACATAAGATATTTTAACACATGACCACAAACAGTGATGTTTATCTGACACTCGGTGCTGGAAGTACAAACTGTATAGAAAATATCCGCTGGATATGGAGGCGCAGGTTACAGAGACCGCCGTGAGCCCACGAAGTCCTGGAGTCACCTGGCTAACAACAGCTCACAAGGTCCAAATTTAAAAGACTGGGCGAATGTGATGTAGCGAGGTGCTTTGGAGCGAATTAACCAGGTGAGACAAAGCGTAGTTTAGTCAAAAGGTGGCGTTTTACATGGCAGGAATAAACAAGAAGCAGAGGCTGCAGCCCAGAAACTAAACCAGTCACTCGGATCTGAGGACCACGGACCTGCGGATCAAGGACCTGAGGACCACGGACCTCAGGCTCAAGGACCTGAGAACCACGGACCTGAGAACCACGGACCTGAGGACCACAGACCTGAGGACCACGGACCTGAGGACCACGGACCTGAGAATCAAGGTCCTGAGAACCACGGACCTGAGGACCACGGACCTGAGGACCACGGACCTGAGGACCACGGACCTGAGGACCACGGACCTCAGGATCAAGGACCTCAGAAAACTGGGACAAGGTCAGTGGAAACAGCTGATCAGTCAAGTTGAGGTAAATGTTCGCTACGTCAGAACTTTCTCCAATTTAGCCAGTTAAAAACAAAAACAACTCAAATGTGAACAACTTTTTTGCAAAATTGTGGAAGTTTTTTTATTTTGCTGTTTCCATCAACCTTCCTAAAGTGATAAATGCTCATAAAATATGTTGAAAATGGAAAAACGACTTCAGTCTGTGCTCAAGAGATCTGAAGGGAGTCTGGAAGACGACGTCCCCCGGGGACATCTCTTGGACTGATATAAAGATCGGTGGCCTGTTTAGAGTTCAGTCGTTTTGTTGTGTCTGTTATTGTGGACCGGTCTCTCAAACTTATTATTTTTAATTTCCTGCACCAGGGCTTGTTCACTCCTGTAACCCTGACCTGAAGGTTTTCCTGCTGCTGTGTACCAGCTATAAGGAGGGAGGGGAGGGAGGGGGGGTCCTGCCCTGCCTCATATGGCCTCACTGATGTCGGCTCTAAACGGTGTTCAGGAGTCGTACAGGGGAAATCTGATGAGTCAGAAGGTGATCAGACGTTTATAATATTAGCTGATAGGATTTAATAACTCTTTTTTTTAATCGTTGTCTTTCATCATGATGGCCGTCAGGTGACAGCAGAGATACAGCGTTCACGTTACAAATCACATCTATCGGGACGTGTGCTTTCACGTGTTTGACGGGACAACGCAGCGCCTCGCCGGGTGAAGGTAGAGAGCCGAGGCTGAAACACACCTGAACCGTGGTGGTGGGAGACTGAACCATTCTGGTCTGAGCAGGGGAGGCCAGGCGGACCGTCTGAGGAGCCTGCAGACAATAGGGAGGGAAAAGTACACCGTTTATAATCGCAAAGCATCATGGGAAGTCTTAATATAAGCAGCTCTGAAGCTCAAAGTTCATGTAAGGACACACAAAAAAACAAACTTCCGCTGATTTTATTTATTTCTTCTCTAGTCTGGGAAAGAACTAATGCTGATTTTCAATTCATCGATTAATCTGTTGATTAATGTTTTGGTTTATAAAAAGCCCAACAATTATGTAAAGTCATCAATATTTGTCCAGTGGTGTTACAGAGTGGAACTTCTTCCCTCACCAAAATACTTCTTCACATTCACACTCTAACTTTCACCCTCATGTGCAGTGAACTGCTGCAACACCTGCAGGCTGAGGCTGACAGAACGCCGCAGAGTTCAGCAAAGAAACATTTCATTTGGATCAGAACTATGCAGCACCACAGACCCTGATGTGTACCAGACCCACCGTGGTAGCCGTAGTGACCCGGATGGTGGCCCCGGCCGTCGGCGTTGCAGGTCTCTGGGTGATGTTGGCCACCGTTTGGCCCTGCTGCGTCTTGGCCTGAGCCTGGGCCAGAACCTGCTGAGGGACCATCACCAGCTGACCCGTCTCCGTCCGGACCAGAACCATACCTGAGGATGAGGAAACAGCGTCAGTACCTTCATCTGACAGAAATACATGTCATTTCTAACAATAACAGGAAAATGATCAACAAGTCCCAGTTAGTCCTGGTGTAAACCTTTAGCCTCACTGTAAAAACCTTTAGCCTCACTGTAAAAAACTTTAGCCTCACTGTAAACCTTTAGCCCCACTGTAAACCTTTAGCCCCACTGTAAACCTTTAGCCTCACTGTAAACCTTTAGCCTCACTGTAAACCCCTTTAGCCCCACTGTAAAAACCTTTAGCCTCACTGTAAACCTTTAGCCCCACTGTAAAAACCTTTAGCCTCACTGTAAACCTTTAGCCCCACTGTAAAAACCTTTAGCCTCACTGTAAACCTTTAGCCCCACAGTAAAAACCTTTAGCCCCACTGTAAACCTTTAGCCTCACTGTAAACCTTTAGCCCCACTGTAAACCTTTAGCCCCACTGTAAACCTTTAGCCCCACTGTAAAAAACCTTTAGCCCCACAGTAAAAACCTTTAGCCTCACTGTAAACCTTTAGCCCCAGTGTAAAAAACCTTTAGCCCCAGTGTAAACCAGTGTAAACATTTAGCCTCACTGTAAACCTTTAGCCCCAGTATAAAAACCTTTAGCCACAGTGTAAACCAGTGTAAACCAGTGTAAACCTTTAGCCCCACTGTAAACACCTTTAGCCCCACTGTAAACACCTTTAGCCTCACTGTAAACCTTTAGCCCCAGTATAAAAACCTTTAGCCACAGTGTAAACCAGTGTAAACCTTTAGCCCCACTGTAAACCTTTAGCCCCACAGTAAAAACCTTTAGCCCCACAGTAAAAACCTTTAGCCCCACAGTAAAAACCTTTAGCCCCACAGTAAAAACCTTTAGCCCCACAGTAAAAACCTTTAGCCCCACTGTAAACACCTTTAGCCCCAGTGTAAACACCTTTAGCCCCAGATTAAACATTTTGTCTCAGTGAAAACCTTTAGTCCCAGTTTGTTCATGTCTCTCACAGAGCTGGTGGTTTAACATCACTTCCTGCTGAACTGAAGTCAGGTTTAATATTTCCAGCCTGACCCTGAATGGATATTGATCCGTGTGTGATGTATCGATCTTTTATGTGGCGTTTGTGGTCAGCATGTGTGAGCCCTTAAACTCGGTTCTTAAAGAATACCGAGCCAGACATCAAGAGTTTCAGGGAACGTTAATGGTCCAAGACCTCAGACCTAAAACACGTTGATGCATTTAGTCCGATTCATCTAACTGTAGTTTATTAAACTTTCTGTAAATCTAATCTGTCTGAATGCCGTTTGGTCTTTTCACAACAGTCAAATGTAAGATTACTGAGGAAAACTACAACCTGTAGTTTATGAGCATGTGTTGTAGAAGAAGAAGCTGCTCTGATGGTTAAAGTGGATTCTGTCCTAGGCGGTTCTGACAGGACCTCAGATCCTGACCCAGAAGCCTCAAAGAAAATATTTAATCTGCTGCAACACAGACTAGGTTTAAGTTGTGACTGTTTCCTACAAACAAAGATGGCCGCTGGAGATTTTAAAGGTTTCCATTTGAACAAACCGAACATCTCTCTCATGTTTGTCTCGCGTTCAGACGGATCCGCCACCTGGAGATAGGAAACAACTTAAAACTGGTGTTTGTGTTGCAGCAGACTGAATATGTTAATCCAGATGTTTAGAGTCACTGAGGACTGTGGGAAAACCTTCACAGAAACAGGAAGTGATGTTAAACCAGCTCCTGGGTGAACCTGATGTTGAGAGTCTGGGAACACATGAGGAACAAACCGGGTCTACGGTGACACCCAACAGGTGACCCGGTCTCAGGTGAACGGGTCATTGTTGTGTTTGCTCACCAGGCGGCATGCTGAACCCGGGGGGCAGCTGGATGGTGGTCTGCTGCTGAGGTCGGACCGCCAGAGTCTGTTGAGGAGCCGCCGGCCTGGGGGAGCTCGCCACCAGCCCGGGTCTCTGCTGCTGGATGGAGGTGGCCACCACGGGGGCGCCCGGCGGCCTCACCATGGCCACCGTAGGCTGGCCCAACCCGTTCACCGCAGGCTTCCCCCCGGCCAGGGTGACAGCAGCTGTACTGGTCCCGGTCTGAGTCTGGCTGACGGGGGACTGGACTGCAGCAGGCGGAGGGGTACTTGCCAGGATCACAGAGTTCCCGGACACAGGCTGGCTCTGAACCAGCATCTTGGTGTGCATCAGAGGGTTGCTGTGGTTCACGACCTGAGAGCTGGAGGCTGGGGCGCCCTGGGTCACCAGCTGGACCCCCTTAGGGTCCACCCCGTTCTGGGTGGCCACCGGGCTCGGGTGCCTCTGCAGAGCCACGCCGGGAGACGCCACGGAGGACTGAGGTACAGGAAAGGTGGGCTGTGAAGCCATGGAGGCGATGATGGTGGACCCGCCGGCGCTGACAGAACTTATCACGGTGCCGGTCCCGGCTGCTGGGGGGGCAGCGGGAGAGTTCACCAACTTTGCAGCTCCGGAGCTGCCGTTTAAACTTTGTAATCCCGGAGAGCCGGTCCTGACCGCCTCCGCCGCGGGAGCCGCGCTCGGACTCAGGACGGCAGCCCGGTGGAAGCTAACAGCAGCCGCGGACTGAGTGGTCAAAGTTACGGGTCCGGGTCCCGGAGGAACCGCGGGAGGAGAAGCTCCAACTGTTCCCAGACCAGCTCCGGCGGGTATCACGGCCCCGGCGGCGGCCGTAGAGGAGGTAGAGGAGGCGAGGGCTTTACCGGAGAGCGGCTCATTAGCGCCCGGTTCCTGGTCTAAACCCGCTTTCGGATGCCCTTGTTGCGGCGGATCCAGAGACCCCACCGGATCGCGCACTTTCCCTGAGAACGGACCGGCCGCCGGAGGAGCTGCCTCCCGTTTCCCGTCGGAATAAGAAGCCGCGGGAGCCTTTCGGTCGCCCAGTTGTGATTCCAGAGAGCCAACTAGGTCGCTAACTGCTTTCTCATCCACCTCGGTGAAGAGCATGTCCTCCAGTGGGTCGGAGGCTCCCGCCATCTTTGATGTCGGACCGTTGTGCAAATCGTATTTTAGAATGTACGCATGCGCGGAGGATCCGTGTTGTTTTCGAGCATAGAAATAGAACACGTAGATCACCTGAGGCGCCAGGTCCAGCCACAGATCCAGTTTCAGGTCCAGGTTCAAGTACAGGTACAGGTTCAGGTCCAGCTACAAGTCCAGGAACAGGTACAGGTCTAGGTCCAGCTACAGATCCAGGTTCAGGGCCAGGTACAAGTCCAGGTACAGGTCCAGCTACAGGTCCACGTCCAAGTACAGGTCCAGGTCCAGGTCCAGCTACAATTCCAGGTTCCGGTCCAGCTCCAGGTACAAATACAGGTTCCGGTCCAGCTACAGGTCCACGTCCAAGTACAGGTCCAGGTCCAGGTCCAGCTACAATTCCAGGTTCCGGTCCAGCTACAGGTACAAGTCCAGGTTCCGGTCCAGCTACAGGTCCACGTCCAAGTACAGGTCCAGGTCCAGGTCCAGCTACAATTCCAGGTTCCGGTCCAGCTACAGGTACAAGTCCAGGTTCCGGTCCAGCTACAGGTCCACGTCCAAGTCCAGGTCCAGCTACAGGTACAAGTCCAGGTTCCGGTCCAGCTACAGGTACAAGTACAGGTACAGGTCCTGGTTCAGGTGTGTGCTGCAGGTAAACTCACTGGCAATGAACTGTTGGAAGTTTTATGGATTGGAGCAATACTGTCTGAAATCAGATTCCAAATTAGTTTGCAGCGATTATCACCAAACTTTCATAAAACAAACCAAACAATCTGGAATAACATTTAAAATCTTTATTTGTTGTTTATTTACGACTGCAGAGCCAGTAAATTTGATCTCTGTTAGAATTTAACATGTTTCGACTGTTCTTCTTAAAACTCTGCATGTTGAGTCACATATCGTTTGTATAGTGTGTAAATCAGATATCTGTAAGACGGGTGTTCATGTGACCGTCGTTTTTACACCAAGTGTGTTTCTAATGTTAACTAATCTTTAACTTCTAACAGCCTGTTTCTGCCCTTCAGTTCATTTTAAACACTGTTTCTCACAGCGAGACGTTTACAGAGGTTTTTCATTTTATCTGTAACTATGTGGAGAAAAGCAATGTGTGTGATCTGCAAATCAACACACAGTTAATGAGGAAATGCTGCATATTTAAGAAGCTTTAATTGAAAATGTTTTTTTTCTGTATGTATAAATTTAGCTTTTAAAGCTTTGTTGTGATGTGAGTAATATCTTTGATTAATTAATGAGACCAATCATTAGGGGAAAAAAACAGACATTTACTCAAGTACTGCTCCTTTATGTTTACATTTGTGTATTTTGTTATTTACTTCCCTTTTATCTTGCTATGTAAGTGAGCAATACACAACAAGGAATTTCCTCCCAGGGATCAATTAAGTCTGATTTCTGAACCGACAGATGTCTTCTATCCTGCACAGATCTAGATCTCACGGCGCAGCGTAATCGCGCGATATTACGAGTTCCCGTTAGCCCCCGCGCTCAGAGCCAGTCCATGGAGGAGGAGGAGCAGGTAGCCATGTTGTAGCGGCGAGACGCGCGAGTTGGCGGAAAATAAACTGCGAGTAGAATCAGCGCAGGTACCCTCACGGTCCGGAGGAGCCCCCATCCTGTTCCCTGCTCGGACTGCAGAGCTCCAGGAGACACCATGAGCGGCGGGACGCCCTACCTGGGCAGCAAGATCAGCCTGATCTCGAAGGCCGAGATCCGCTACGAAGGGATCCTGTACACCATCGACACCGAGAACTCCACCGTCGCACTTGCTAAAGGTACCGCAGCTAGCCGGCTAATGCTAACACCAGCTAGCGTCAGCTGCCGCCGTCTCTGACACGTCTCAGACAACATGCGATCTGGTCCCGGACGTACCAGGTGCAGGATTAACCCAGACCCGGACCACACCAATAACGTGATCCATGTGGCTAGAGTTAGCTTGCTAGCAAAAAGTTAACAGGTTGATGCTAGCTAGGCTTATCAAGCAGTAAGCTAGGAAGCGGTCTAAAGCTAACAGCTAATAAAGCTAACCGAAACGTTACGAAGTGATTTATTACCGGAAAGGAAACAACGTTTGAGCCGCCTGTAAATCTAATTTAGGCAGGATAAATGTTAAACTCTGAGACGTGAGTCAGCTTCTCCCTCCTGGCAGCTAACGTTAGCACGTCGGCTTAGCTGTGTTAGTGCAAACCAAAAACAAACCAACCGCCAAGTTTTCCGTTTCACTTCCTCACGAGGCGGATTTAGGAGGCTGAACACCTGCCGTACAGCTCACCTGTTCACTCACAGCAGATTAGGACAGAAACTATTCAGTGAAACTTCATCAGAGCAGCTTTTTTATCCCCCGGTGAGCGGACAGGTGAAGCGTCGGCTACACGAGGCTGTCTGTACATACATGGAGTACTTAAATCTATAATATATCGATCTATCTGTGCGCGAGGTTGCAGTCTGTAGGCAGACTCGCGATTCAACTCAGAGTGTTTCCTGCTTCTCACAATAAACTGAATATCTTTGTTCATTTAGCTGAAGCTTTTATCCAAAGCCACTTACTTGTCTTGCTCAGGGGCACACAGGTGGATGGGTCACAGTGGGGAATCAAACCCGGGTCTCACACCAAAGACATGTGTCTCCACTGAACCATCGCCACCCGATACAAACAACACAACATGTCACCTTTGGGAGATGACGTCTTCAGATGTCACGTGTTGATCTGACGGTCGTCCAAAACCCAAAGACCTTTGATTTGTTATGATGGAAGAAGATGAAATGTCCACATTTAAAACAATTACTCAAAGATTTAAGTTTAAGAATTAGAAACTGTTTGGGTGTGTTTATTTTATTTTTTTTAAACCCAGCAGCAGCCTCCTGTATCTGAGTAGGTGATGTGCCGCTGCTTGCATTTGATTTTGTAGTGCAATGATTTGGCCGGCTGTCGTCTTCATTCAACATGCTGCAAACAGATGTTGTGCCGTCAGTCAACCTGTGGGATCACAGACGGCGGGTTTTTAAAATCTGTACAGAAACATCGTGACATAACTCTGATTAAAAATAAAAATTAGCTGTCAACTATTAAATAAACCTTTTTTTGAAAAGCGATTCCAGCTTCTTGGATGTTTTCTGACAGTAAAGTGAATCTGTGCTGGTTGGACAGAACGAGATATTTGAGGACGTCCTGTTGGGCCGAAGGGAAACATGAAAACGCGCTTTTCTGACAGACCAAATAACTAGTTGACAGATTAATCGTGAGCTGCACGCCTGCTGCGATGCTAACGTCTGCTTCCTCCTGCTAGTGCGCTCCTTCGGCACGGAGGACCGCCCCACCGACCGGCCCATCCCGCCCCGAGATGACACCTTCGAGTACATCATCTTCAGAGGCAGCGACATCAAGGACCTGACTGTGTGCGAGCCGCCGAAGCCCACGTGCTCTCTTCCTCAGGACCCTGCTATCGTCCAGGTACGTTTCACACCTGGAGCCTGACGCGATGTTTGGTCTTCCTGTCTTTAACGTTAACCAGCTCTGACTTCCTCCTCAGTCGTCCATGAGCACCAGCTCCTCGTCTTCAGCTGCCGCCGCCCCGACCCCCTTCCAGTCTGCTGGTTCCTACGGCCTCTTCAACCGGGCTCCAGTTCCTGCCTATAACCAGTTCAGCGCCAGCCCCCTGGTTTCCCCTCAGTTTGGACCAGTCGGTGTCGGTAAGCACAACAGTTTGGCTTCAGCCCGTTTTATGGGTCTGACTGTGGGAGCAGGGACTCAGCTGGGCATGATATCCAAGGGTTCAGGGTCTCTCTGTGGCTCTGGGACCACGTAAAGCATGCCATAGAAACCGTGGAGGGTCGGTCCATGGCGTCTGTGTGACTTCAAACGGTCGAGGCCGTAACTTTCCTCCGCTACATGCCCAGTAGTCAGCAACGTGACAAAACTAGTGGTGTTGTGTTTGAGGTGTCTGTCAGTCCTCCTCGGTCAGGTGATCTCCTTTGTGAACATCACAAGCACCGCCTCCACCCAGTCTCAGAGCAGCGCTGGGGGCCCCGCTCTGTCCTCTGACTCGCGGCCTCTGGGTACCCTCGTAACCGAAGGTATGAAACCTGTAGGTGGACTCTTGAAACAGCTGCTTTTAAAGCCAGTACAGTGACCTCCTCATCCCGGGCCGGTCACCACGGTTTAATGGATCAGCCCAGACTGGCTCCTGAGGTGCAGCTCCTGCCTGCTGTAGTTTGTGTGGCGGAAATGAGCCCAGCTGGTTTATAGTTTCCCTTGGAGCAGCAGGACTGACCTGTCCGGGTGCAGGTCCAGTCAGTGATCGGGTTTAGTTCGGGACCACTAACACTGACCTCTGGTTTTCCTCCAGGCCGCAGCAGCCCCAGCCTGGACCCTCTGCGGAAGAGCCCCGCCCTGGAGCAGGTGATCCAAAATGCCCCCACCGCCACGGCTCCGGCCCCCGGCCTGGGGCGCAGGAGCCCCCCTCAGGGTCGCACGGCCCCGTCCACCGCCGCTCAGAGCAGCCAGAAGGTCCAGCACCAGGATGGCGTGGACACGAGGAGGGGCGAGCCTGTCAGGGGTGGCCGTGGCGGCCAGGGCTGGTCTGCCCCCCGAACCATCTCCTCCTCGCACATCGCCGCCGCAGACAGGGCTCCCAACGCAGGGCTCCCCCACGCCATCTTCAGCCACTCAGGTGAGACCTCAGACCGGCAGTCACCTGTGCCGCTGTCCTGTGTGGACTCTCCTGAGAGCGAAACGCAGATTCAGCCTGAACTCAGTAAATGTATTTGTCGTCCCCATGATGACCCCTTTGTTACTGCGCAGCTCAAATATAAAATGAAGTTTGAAGTCAGAACAATTATTTCTCTAGCAGTGTTTCCCGTGTATTACAGAGATTACAGCGGCTTCAAAATGAACAGAAGATATTTTTTCTCGTGTTTTGTGCCGCTGCCGTCAGTACGCTGACGCTAGCTAAAGTTCTGAACAGCTCTGAGGGTTTCTGCCACTCGTTGGTGCGAACACGCTAAGCTAGCTGCACCTAAATCTGGAGTGCACACATAATGGAGCCTTTACGGTAAAGGAAAGGTCACAGAGCAGCTGACAGGCAGGTTACAGTTTCTCTCTCCACAAAGACAAAAAGACCTGAAGACAGGCTGTCAAGTCTGAACTGGGCGCCACGAGCGCCACATACAACGTAATTTATCAAACTGCGTCTGACTTTGTGAACTCAGCGCAAGGATACGCACGAGACACAACATATAAACAGTGTGGAGATGAGATTAACTGGATTATTATGTGATTATTATTTCACAGGAAGTGTAAAACCTGTTATAGTTGCCCATTAAAAGTAAAAAAACAACAACCAGTTTTCTGATTGGCCAAAGGGTCACACAGTGAAGCGAGCGTCCAAAGGTTTGTGAGCACAGCAGGATCTCTGAGAGGGTTATCGAAGCGCAAACACATTTACAGACGAACAAACAAATTTTCCTTTTACGCGATGGTGATTGTTCTGCTCTGAGCGCAGCCGTGAAGTCGGCTCATCTTTTAGTCCCACATTTAAAACCAGTTGGTCTGAAGGTGGCAGACTAGTTTCCACCACTTTTCTCTCTGACCAAAAGACTCTGCTGTTCCAGGCCCAGATGCCCCGAAAGCCCCCAAACCAGAGGCTGAGCAGGCGCGAGGCGAAGGCAGGGACCCGGGTAAACGTGCCTCAGGTTAATCCCTCCTCTGAACCATCAGCCCATTCAGACTCCGCATGCCTGCCCAGCTCTCCTCTGGGACAGGGGAGCCTCGCTCTCATGCCCTCCCACCGCCTGACCATCCTGTTCTTCTTTGTCGGTGTGTGCAGATTGACGTGCTGTTCGTGTCAGTGCACGTCTGGCTGTTTTCGTGCCCTCTGAATGACTTGCTGCATTTCCTCCATGTGTGATGTGACCTTTACTTCTGTGTGCCGCCTGAAGCCCGACAGTGGATGTGCGCTCTGGTTCGCTCGTGAGACACTGTTTGTTTTGACAGCTGACGTGTTTTAATTATTTATTTTTTAATCCTGTCATTCAGTGGCTGCCGGTGCTCCGGCTAACCGGCGTGGGCGAGGGGGCGGACACCGCGGCAGGGGGCGCTTCAACGTCCGCCGGGATGGACCCATGAAGTTTGAGAAAGACTTTGACTTCGAGAGCGCCAACGCCCAGTTCAACAAGGAGGAGATCGACAGGGAGTTTCAGAGCAAGCTGAAGCTCAAAGGTAATTAAGCCACACTAGCATGTCGCTCTGTTTCTGGCTGCTCTCGCCACCCAAACGCCTGCAGAACGGATGACGTTCCCATCAGCCTCAGCTGTACGTAGGGTGCAGGCAGCGTGGAGGGAAGTTAGGCTTTGTTAACGTTCAAACTGCCCACGGTGAGTTGAGCCAAAGCTCCTTTTAATCAGGCAGCGTTTCCTCTGGAATCATTCAGCAGCGGCGTGATGCGAATTATAAACAACCGTTATCAACAGACTATTCTCACTGGCACGCCGTGTGAGCACGCGACGCTCGAGCCCAGTTCACACCACACCAGTTTAAGCCCGATTCGCCATTCGAGCTCACCGACCTTCCGGCTGGGATCGGGGGCAAACCAGCTTTGAACAGCTCGCCGACGCCAGACAGATTTCTAGCACGCTAAATATCTCCACATCCAGCCAATCAGAGCACGCTGATCCAGACTCTTTGTCTTTATAATGTTCAGCTTCATAACAAGAACCAAGTCCTGTTTCCAGATTACTTCCTGTGTCACTTTTCACCTGTTTTTTCTTTACAAAACCAGGGGCCTCATTTCTAAACGGTGCGTACGAACTAAACAGGGCTGGAAACGTGCGGACGCCACTTCCCAAGCAAAGGTTGTGATCTATAAAACCAAACCGTGCGTCCTGTAAGTAAACTCTGAATCATGCACACGAGAAGAGAAACGGCGCCTCACATGGCAGAAGGATGAAACGGTTTGAAATGAAGAGGCCTACTGCTGTGTAAAATAAATCCAGATATTCCCTCTGAGTATTCCAGGCTTAAAGCCTTTCTGAATAAACAAACAGCCGTTTGACTGATTCTCCCTGAAGTGGCAAAAAATCATCATTAAGATCATTTGCAGCCACAAAAAGATCCAGATTCAGGATCAGAAAACACAAACGGAGATTCTGTTGGACAGTTTAATCAGGAGTCATATTAATTAATACTTAATTTATTCTCCTAAATAAGGTGAACAGGAGACAAATTACATTTAAACTGATGCTGTTTTCAGTGCGTCAGTCGAGCAAATAGCAGAGTTTCATATCTTGTTATCAGATGTTGGTTTCCTTATGGAACCAAACGCTGAGCGCCAGCGTGTGGATGTGACGCGCTGCTTGTAAAAACACGTTATGGAAAATAAAAAAACTATTTTATATCATTTCCAACAAGTCGTCTTTCTTTAACTCGTCAGCAGGTTCGTTCAGTGAGCCGACTGTGCGTAGAAATAAATGTTTAAACTCAGAGGAAGTCATTTGGTTTCCTCTCTTTTCGGGGGTATCCAGATCAGTACTTCAGGGTCGTCCGGTCTGTGTGGCCCCCTCCAGCCAGCGACTAGCCAGTCACTACTCAGACGGGGGCCCCGTCCTGCAGATCAGTTTTAGAGGGGCAGAGGCGCACGGACACTTTTAGTGAGGTTTCTACGCACAGTTTTATAAACGAAACGTTGTCAGCTCGTGTAGACGTCCTGTCACAGACCAGTCACGTCGCGTGATCGCCTTCGAGACTAGTCTGCACGCGCCTTTAACTCGCTCCCTGTGCTCGTTCTTCAGAGGGCATCTACCTGGCACGTGTAACAGCAGCGTAAAGAACACGGCGGCTACGACTCGGAAACGCTGTGACAGAAAAAGAAATAAACATGTACAACGAGATGGGCGAAGTGGGTCGTTGAGAGTCTGCCTGTTTGGGTTGGCAGTTTGTGTCTCTGAGCTCCTATGACTGTGTTCGTTCTGTCAACACTCAGACGAGAAGGCGGTGAACGGAGAGGAGAAGGTTGACTCGAACGTGGAAACGCAGAACAGCGAGGGGAACGCCGACGAGGAGTGCGACCCGCTCGGCCCCAACTGCTACTACGACAAGTCCAAGTCTTTCTTCGACAACATCTCCTGCGACGACACCAGGTAGGAGGACACCGAGCTCGGCCTTTTAACCGAACCTCCGCGAGCTCCAGCCGGACGCCAGCTGCTTCCTTCAGTAACGTGTCTGTTTTTCTTCTCTCCAGGAAAGCCAACGACAAGTCCGGCGGCTCGGTCTTCCCCAGGTCAGTGTTCATTCCAGTCTCGTAGGTCTGCCCCCCCCGTCTGTAGCTGCTCCTCATCTCTGTGCTGTTTCCTCCTCCTGCAGGGAGCGGAGGCAGACCTGGGCGGAGGAGAGGAGGATGAACGCCGAGACGTTCGGCATCCCCCTCCGTCAGGGCCGAGGGCGCGGCGGTTACCGTGGACGCGGCGGTATGGGCTTCCGCGGAGGTCGGGGTCGTTCGGCAAGCCGAGGGTCCTTCGGTCCGCCACTAGGAGGAGGCGGCTTCAGGGGGGGCTACAGAGGAAACCAGGCCGGCCGGGAGTTTGCCGACCTATCAGCGTACAGGGTAAGAGCTGATTCACACGCTCTGTAAACCTGCTCCAAATCCACACTGCCGGTCAGCAGTGTTAGAGCAGCCGCCATGTTTGTAGTTCTTAAACAGTCCAAAGTTTAAAAACAACGTTTCCAACATTTTCAGATCTAAAATGAACAATTAAATGAAGAAGTTTGTTTCACTGTAGGATCAACCGAAGCCCAGCTGCTCTGTCTGCCTTCATTAAGATCGTATATAAAATAAAGCTTCTGAGGTGGATGAACAGGCTGCTTTTCCTCTCCTTCCTCTACTTTTAACTCATTACTGATCCCTGAAAACTGTAGATCTCTTTATATATCGGAAATATGTCGAAACGTTGATTTTAACTTTGGACCATTTTTAAGGTTTTTCAGAAGAACTACAAACATGGCGGCTGCTCTAAAACCTTTGGACCTGCGGTGCACAAACATTAAAAGATTCATTATATTTAATATCCAGTCCTGAAGAAATTAGTCATAGAAGGTTTTTGATGGTTTAGCCCATCTACTACATGTTTAGTGTTTTTGTAAACCATGATTCTGAAATTTTATATTTATTTGCGTTCATTTGAGCCCAGGATGAAACTCTGTAGGCAGATGTGTGAGCAGGTTCGGGGGCGTGGGAGTTTTCCTGGAAAATTACTTCTGCTGGGGCCAACAATTATTTAGTTATTAGGTTCCTCTTTAAGTAACTCGACACAAAACCAAAGAATATTTAATTCACAGGGATAAATGTTGATAAATGACCTGTTAATGGGTTAAACAGCTGCTGTTCTGTGTTCTGACAATCTGCATTAAGATTATACTCAAAGTGTTGATAAACCTAAAGCGGCAGAATATTTCCTCTCTGAAACAGACAGTTGTTTTTTAACCTAAGTGTCTGCTGTTGTTGTTTAATTTTTTTAATTTTTTGTCCTTTTCTTCCAGAAGGACAACAAAGTGGCTGCGTAGTCTCAGCGGGAGGAAGGAGCTGCAGGAAGGTGGAGCTTCTGCAGTGGAAAACGAAAATAATGAAGATTGTCTGCTAGTTGTATGTTTGTCACCAGCACTGGTTTAGACTGCTGCGATACGACAGCGCAGTTTATCAGAGAAACACTTTAAAAAGTCCAGATCTCTTCAAAATAATTATGTATAAATGTCATATTTCAGAGGGGTGTGAGTCATTTCTTTAGTTTTTCAACGATGTTCCCCTTTCCCGAACCTGGATCTGACGTAGCTTTACTCTGGGGGGTGGGTTCAGTTCACCTGTCACCTTTCTAACATGTATTTTTCTACTATTGCTTAGACGTTCATCCTGTGGTGTAGTCGGCCGCTCGCCGTCGCGTCGCCGCTTTCCGTTTGACTGTTTACTTCAGACGTTCCTCGCCGTCTCGTCCTAACGCTGCCGGTAGATCTCCACACGTGTACTGGGCTCGTTCTTGTGGTAGTTTTTACTCCCGGTGTACGAGCAGAGAGAGGTCATAGGTCAGATTTCAGTCGCTTCCTTTTCGTCTTATGCTTTATGTGATTTACTTGGTTGATGAGCTTCGGTTAGTTTGAGCTGCGGCGCTTCCTGGCAGATCGGCCGGGCCCGTACGGAAGATCTGACAGGAAAGCAAGTCAAACTAACTAAACTAGAAAACACTTCTATGTGCATTTACTGAAAAACACGTTAACAGGAGAGTAGTTTTTTTAGTGGTTTGTCTTTAATAGCTGAAGCGTTTTCCGCGTTAAATCAAAAAAAGAACAGTGAAGATTCAGTGTGGACCAGCAGAGAGCAGCACAGACCTGCCAGGACTGAAGTTTCAGAGACGAGAACCTGAGCAGAGAACACTTTTGTAGTACTTTAATACACCGTCTTAGCTGCTGGACAGTAAAACACACATCTCACTTTTTTGTTTTCTAACTTCAAAATAAAATAATCTGTTATTAAAGACAAAAAGCTAAATCATTCTTTCGTTGACACATAACTGTTTTATCTCTTATTATTATTATTATTATTATTATTATTATTGGCATTTTAGAGCTTCCATATCTGAAGCCGTTTGCACTTTTCTCAGCCGTTCCTGCAGATGTTATTACTTAGAGTTGTTTGTCGGGCTGCTTCACGAGACACACTAATTTATACCGCGAGCCAGGCTCAGCAGCCCACCTCTTACAGTTCACTCGACCTCGACGCCACTACCTTTATCCCGCAGCACTGCATGGTGGTCGACGGCCCGCTGAAGCTACAGGAAGTGATGTCAGCTGTGCATAGAGAGCGTGCTAGCTGTGCGTGTAGCAACATAGTTTTCTAGCAATATTCATACTTTTATGAAGGATCGGGTCTGATAAATTATGGCTGAATAATCCGACGACATCCTGGCCTGGCATGGCATGATTTATGTACTTACAAACTTATGCAGATGAGATGCTGTTTTCCGTTCCTGAGGTGGTCTTCAGCTAACGGAGACTTTGTAACTGACAGATGGAGATTTCAGGGGGGCCGTTGATGCAGACCTGGGGTCAAACACGGAGCGCTCAGCCTGTCTGTTTGTTTCCTGCTGTTTTGCTTCAGTGTCTTTGTCACTTGCAGCAGGTTAACAGGTTACAGAAGTGAAATGAAGATCTGTGTTGACCCGGGTTTGTTCCTGTAAACACTATCGACTAAATGGCTTCGACTCCGGAACGAGGGAATGACCGCTGACACGCAGAGCCTCCTCTAAAGTACTTTAGTTGTGCTCAGGAAATAAATTGAAATGAGATTTGTCTTGATGCGAGAGGCTAACGGCTAACGTCACATCAAAGATTAGAGAAATCAGTGTTGCTGCTGCTGAACTGGAGTGCACATGACTTTAAAACCTTGAACTGACCTTGGGTGAGTTTCCTCTCTGTTATAGAAGCTTTGCATTGAGACACTGAAGCCATTAGTTTAACTGCTGAGAGTCTTTGGGAGCTTTGAGTTGCATCCAACCAGACAAGGTGGAGTGTTTCACCAGTCAGTTTAACTATGATGTGCTCAAATAAAAACACTGATAAAGAGCTGAATGTTTACTTATTTTCTCTTAAAGCTGTTCAGTCTCATTCTTTATAACTACGATCGGGATGGAAATTTAAAATCTTAAAGCAGCAAACGAAATGTGAGACAGAAAATAAGGAGAGGAAACTATTTTAAAATCAACAGTTCATCATTTAAAGACACAGTGAGGAGAGAAGGTTAAATAATTTTACTTTGGGTTTGAAAACTTTTTAATGATGGATCAGTGTCTTAATTTATTAAACGAAGCATTAAGCTCTGAATGTTTTCAGCCCAGAAAGTTAAACTGTCAGATGTGGCTCAAAGCTTCTAACAAACTGATCCACCACCGCGGTCCGGGGGCCCGGGACCGCCGTCTGGGTTTGTTTCTTTCGTGGGGGAACTGGCTCAGTTACAGACCGCTGTGGTTCTCGACTCTTCAGGTGTGTTTGCACGTCAGAGCTGGAAAGAAAATTCTTGTTTAAACCGCGGGTCTGGATTACGTGCCGGGGCCCCCGACCCTCCGAGGGCCTTAAAGCTCCTACATCAGTTGATATTGGCCTCACATGGTGCGTTAAAATAAATAAATGTCAGGGGTCAGTCAGTTGGGGCCCCCGGTGTGTTGATCCGGCCCTGCCTGTTGAATAAACGCACTCATTATTAGACTTAAAGTGAATAATTACAAAGTTTGAGGCACATGTCAGGTTCCTGAGAGCAGAGTCTGATTGGAGGGGTGGGGGGGTATTTAAAAGAAGTTAGAAGTTCAGGTCTGGTTTGGACCGGTGTTGTATAAAAACGCTCACAACACTACATGTTGCTCAAATCTCACCACACTGGGTGCAAACAGAACTGTTTGGATAAAGAATGACGGTTGTCGATGCAATAACTGACGGGATGGTTGGAGCAGCAGCAGGAGGCCGGGGGCGCGTTTGTTCTCCGCCTCCTGTAAACACTCTGGAGTCCACATGTCTTTGGACCCGGCATGGCGTCCTCCTCTGTGGGCCTCAGCGGCCCGGGGTTTTTATTAAGAGCAAATAAAAAAACTTGTTCATTAGTTTGTGTCGGCCTCCGTCTCCTCTGTTCTCCTCAGATGTGGAATATATATAATAATAATATATAACTCCTGTTTTCATTACAGGTGCCTACAAAGTGTGTTGATGTTTCATCAGGACATGGAAACAAGTCAGTCATTGAAACACCACCTCACACACATTAGGTCACCTCTACATTTTTTAAAGGGAAGAAAACTGTTTCAGCTTCTCTCTGAGGTCAAATTAAATGATAGACCACAAAACAATCAGGCCTTCTGGATCTAATCGGTTTCAGTGAATCTAAATAAAAATTCTTTCACAAATGTAGTGAACATGGAGTGTTTTTACGTTTTGTGTAACAAATAGTTAGCGAGTATCAAGTTATTGTACAAATAATCCAACTTTATGTCCGTAATCATATCCTCTGGATCTGTAGTATGGGCACTATTCTGCCTCCATACACCCATATCGAGCATGCGCAGTTAACATAAACAGGGTAGCCGCGGGGTCTTGAAAGTATTAAAAAAGTCTTAAATTTCGTTTTCGTCCTTTTGTAATTATGCTGTAACGTCACAAATGAATACTTTGTGTGTGTGTGGGACTTTATAATATCCTGTATGTGGTGTGACTGATGTCACACGGCAGCACAGGTACACGTTCCTCTTTACGTCAGTGTTCAACTTTACGCTCTGGACTGTGAAGTGTTCGCGGTGCACGAGCCTCTGGCATCCAAACTCTGCGCGAATGAGTCAGTTGTTAGAAAAGAAAAGGTCTCTGACGGGCTACTAACATCTATCCACCACTCAGACTGGGCGAGTGTCTGAAATTCAGAAAGCCAGAGATACGAACAAGTTGGCGGACGAGGCCGAGCGCGGTGGCGCTGAGGTTTGCGCAACAAGTGTTGTGCCGAGTTTTGCCTTCCTGTCGAGAATTGCATCCAAATAATGCTTTTAAACGCTATAATAGTCTTTGTGGGCTTCATCAATGGTGATAAATGATTCGAAGTATATATTTTATGAACGTTTATTAGAGTCTTTAATATTTTAATACACTTAGTAGAAGTACTATTCCTTGACATTCAGTAAATATATGTGGTGATAACGATGTTTGATCAATGAGCGCTGCAAAGTGTCTGACAAGGACCTAAAGAGGTGGATGCATGATCCGGCAGATCAAATCTTTTAGGCTACCTGCCGAGATTTGCATCCACCTCGTTTCTCAGCATAAATTACCTTTAGCACCTGCGAGGTGCGCGCAGTTCTCGGCAGGCAGGCGGAATTCGGCACAACACCTGTCACACTGTGGGGAGCGCTGATGGAACAGCAGAGCTGCAAGACCAGCTGCAGGTTACTGGTCAGTTGATGTTACAACAGAGAGACAGGTGTGCATGAGACTACTACTGTTGTAGGGTAACGTTATGTGAATGGAAACATCAAACTAACGCACATTAAACTTAATTCTCCACTTCAAGCAGCCTTTAGATGCTTTAGAAAAACAGAACAGGATGAATAATCACTGAAGCAATTAGCATTATATTACTTTACCTTGTCTAGTCAAGGTGCAACTAATTGCAGCAACTCATACCACACAATTTGTTAGTATTTTTGTAGTATTTTTTCACCCCTTAAGAGTTCGTAGTGCACAAATATTGTATTCATTTCATGGGTGTCATTTACACTGTGGACACTGGGGACAACATGCAATGCAATTTCAAGATAAAAGAAACAAATGTGCATTGTCCAAAAAAGTTTAAGCTAAAAAAAATCTGAATCACTTAATATAAATAAAGACAATTCTACAACAAAGTTATTTTTATTGCCTTAATGGAACCTTAAAAACAAATTTGTTAAAATCTTTAATCAAACACAGCAACTCCTTTTGGTTTTGTATTCCAAATGAATTATTCAAGAAAATTGGAGGATTAGAATTTCTTCTTAGAGTGGACTTTAATGTTGACAAATTACCTATATCATCATTCACAGACAAATACTCTTGTATGTACATAACTTCTCACCCCACACCTCTGTACCCCGCTGTTTTTTGAAGATTTGTATGGGAGAAATATATGGTCCATAGCTGACTTAATGGATACTAATGGACATTTTTTAAATTATGAACAATTTTGCATCAAACATAATTTCAAACCCTTAACATCAGACTTTACTAAATTACATACAGCTCTACCCCAAGAATTTGTCTTTCTAACAAGAAACATTTTGGCATATCATCCAATACAACCACAATTGGCCCCACTATCAATTCAAGGGATCTTTGTTCTGGATGGAAAATGCACTAACCACTTTATTAGAAATTGTTTTACTGAATACCTTTACCCTGAAAGACAAAATAAAAACAACATCCTACAAAAATTTGAAAATATTAAGAACAATGTATCTAACACTCCCTATACCCCCCAAAGTGAAAGAAACACACTTCAAAGTAATGAACAACATTTACCCCTCTAAAGAATTACTGAGACTTCGCGTTGGCATAGATGATGTGTTTTTCTGTAATGTGATACAGACATTTTGGTGTGATATACATAAATGATCCTCATTCCCAACCTCTATCTCCAGAGACAACATAACATTGGGATTGATATTGCAAAGCAAGGGTGATGAGCTCTGTACTAATACAATTGTATTGTCTAGCTAAATTTTTAAATCACAAATGTAGAATTGTGAAGTCATCTCCCAAATTTGTTGTTTTTTATTATTTTAAACTATATATAAAATCCTTAAAAATGCTGAAAGGTCCTAAAGCACAAATACATGACACTAAAACACTTCCCAACTGAGGTAAATAGCTGAACAAAGTAAATCTTGATATTTTCAATAAAGAGAGGGAAAAAAACTTGTATCGAGCATGCGCAGTTAACCTACAGTATGGGCACTAATCTGCCTCCATACACTTACGTCGAACGTGCGCAGTAACGCTCCATAGGAAATAGTTCAGGCACTAATCTGCCTCCATACACTTACGTCGAACGTGCGCAGTAACGCTCCATAGAATATAGTTCAGGCACTAATCTGCCTCCAAACTGTGTATGAGGTGGTGTCCGTGCCCTGGGGCGGGGTCTCGGCAGCCATTGGTGCAGGCCGGTCTGCCCACCTCCGTCAGGCCGACTTTATCTCCTCCTCAGCGCCACACAGAGTCCAGTCCAGCACCTCAGAGGCCGCAGGAACACCACGAACCACCACAGACCCCCATCATGGCGCTGACTAACGACCCAAACTACCGGAAGCTGGAGCAGTGGTACAAAGCCAACGCCGGCACCCTCAACATGCGGGACATGTTCGAGTCCGACCCGGACCGGTTCAGCAAATTCAGGTTTGAAAACAGACCCGAGCCTTTAGGGCAGCGGACACGGTGATGCAGGGGAGGGAGGGCGGAGGTGGGCGTGATGCTGACAGCCAGCCAGCCTGTTGGGCCTCCGGGCGGCTCAGCTGGATGCGTACAGGTGGGTTTCTGACACCGTCGCACGAGGCTGAACGATCCGCGGAACGCGTCTAATTCTCGGCGTGTTTCCCTCCGAACATCCGGGAGCTCCTGCTGTTCTCCTGAGAGAGACAAGGTCATCGGTTCAAGTCCTGACCGGAACCGTCCCCAGCTGTGCTTCCGTAATATTCACACCCGCTCTCACCTGTCGGCTCACACCAGGTGCTGGACCTGGTTATAAGCGAGCCGCTGGGCCTCGGATCGGCCGGGAATCAAACCAGCGGGCTAACGTTAGCAGGCGCGCTAATGTCACAGCATCCATTATCGGACACACTGCAGCCGAGCTGAACGCGTTTCCTCCTTTGAACATTTTAAATGTTTAATAAAGTCACCGACTGACCGGGGACCGTCCGTGCGCGTCACCTGCCGTCCGTGCGCGTCACCTGCCGTCCGTGCGCGTCACCTGCTCGTGTTTAACATGATAAATGTTTGATTAATCGCTGCTAAAGCTAAAAGCTCTTATAATGGCCGACACTGAAGAAGGAAGAGACCTGTAAGTTCTTTAAAACCAGACAAGCGTTCCTCTCCTGTCCTCCGTGTCCGGTCTTTCAGGTGAGCCTGGGTCTCCGCTGCAGCACCGGGACCGTCCCTCCTCCTCCGGGTCGGTGTCTACGTGCGCTGCGGCGCATCTTCCCCGGATCAGCTGCCAGACAGGAACCAATGTGGTGTACAAGTACTACTAAAAGTACTGCAGTATCCATGTAGATACTCTAGTAAACACAAAGATACTGCTGCGATTGTATGTTTTAATTAACTGGCAGATATTCCAGTTTCTGATCAGAACCCTCGTGCTCTCTCCGACCAGTAGGATTACGTCATCAGGTTACTGCGTGTTTATCAGTAGGTGAGCCAATCAGAGCAGAGGACACCGACTTAATCACCAACTGTTAGAGTAATCGGTTGATCATCAGTCGTCGTCTGATGATAAACTGATGTTTTACACTTTGGGACATTTTTGATTCAACGCTTCAGCTGCTCATCATCATCATCAGTGACTCTGCAGATCTGCCGCGACCCGCTCTAACCTGCAGTGAGGCCACGCCGCATGTCTGCTTTGCTCAATAAAGTCCTTTAAAATAATTTATCAACTTTCAAAATAGGTGTTGATGAACAGGATGACTTGCTTTGTGAACCGTGTCCGCTGCCTTGTCTGAAGTTGTCTTCGTGTACTGAATGATTGGATTTGAGCCCTGCAGCCGCCGCCGCTTTAGTTCCAGCGGATTTATAACTGACTGATTTTAGTAATAAAGATAATTTTCTATAAGAGATCAGAGAATTGACCGACTGTCTAACATCTAATTCATATGAAAAGCAGCAGATTTATTAATGACAGAACCTGCTGATTGGTTGATGATTGGTTGGCTGGTTGATGATTGGTTGGCTGGGCCGTAGTGGCTCTGAAGCAGGAAGCTGCACAGTGAGGGTGAATGTTTGTGTGTCGACAGCACGACTCTGCAGACGGACGATGGAGAGATCCTGCTGGACTACTCCAAGAATCTCATCAACCAGGATGTCCTCGCCATGCTGCTCGCCATGGTAACTCTCTCACACACACCTGTAACAACACGCACACTGTGCAGGGGCCGCCAGGTGTGGCCGTGGTAACAGGTGAGCTCAGAGGACGGCTGAGCTGCACTTTAATAAAATACAAAAAATCTGTCAGCAGCATCGTGTTTCTGCTTCAACTGACAGATCAGAGCCAATCAGGAAGCCAAATGTGAGCGTCCACCTATTGTCACCGACACGCCGCCCCGGAGTCTAAAACCAGCAGCGTTTTCAGACTTTGTATAAATCCTTTTGAATCACTTTAATGAACCTCACTAAGATATTTAATGGGTTTTAAACACTCCTCGGAGCGTCTGCAGTTCAGCACGCCGTCTGAGGCGCAGGAGGAATGATGTCGTGTTAAAACTCCAGATGCAGGAAGCAGCAGCAGGTTTTATGTGTCGGCTTTAAGTGTTAATGAGTTAGAACAAGCTTATATTCAAAACAGTGAATTAAAACTCATTTAATATTTATTGATTCACCATCTAGACTCCAAGGAAACATTATTATTATTATTATTATTATTATTAAAAGCGCCTGCAGCCAGAACTGCTGGCGCTTCTTTAAAAGCAGCCAGTTAACTGAAGGTTCAGGATGTTTTTCAGCTGATTCACAGAGCAACAAACTTTTCTCCGGAAAGAAAGAAGAAAACAAACAAAACAGGTGGACAGACCGGCTCAGATTCCTGATTGACCAGGAACCAAATCACTGTATTATTTTCCACTTCCTGTAATGAAGCTGCTGCTCGTTCCTGCTGCGGCGCTCGTGATATGTGGGGAAATCCTCCTTGTTGTTTCTGTAAGGTCGCCCCGCGTTGGGAAATCTGCCGCAACCGTTCTTTTTGTTCCGATTTCTAAAAGCGAGACCGCAGTTTGAGTCACTCTGAGACGCTTGACAAATAGTGTTGCTCAAAGATCCAGTGCAGCAGGAAGCTTTCGACACTTCAGAAACGATAAGTCGTATCTCGGCTCAGAGCCTTTGTCCTGTTGCCGTCTGTGGGAATGTTGTAACGGGGAGAACAAAACTTCCTCCTCAGGCTGCAGCAGAGTTTCTAAAGAATCGAGCTTTTGTCACCTTCACTCTGTTGTAACGATGCGTTCAGGGCCGCCGTGTAAACTCTGCTTTTGTGATGTTTGCAGGCCAAGTCGAGGGGCGTGGAGGAGGCCAGAGAGAAGATGTTCACCGGAGAGAAAATCAACTTCACTGAGGTACGGAGCGCCGCCTAGAGGCTCAAATGCTGCTCAGCGTCACGTCCCAGGATCCTTCACTGTCAGGTCGCCCGACACGCTGATGGTGTCAGAATAAGATTAACACATTTGTAATGAACATTATGTTTGAAACAAAGTGCTGCAGGGAAATATGAAAATTAAAGACGGAGAGACGCTGCTGACACAAACGCACCTGAAGCGTCGTGTCGCTCTGCAGCTGCCGGATGAGGAAACAAGCTGCTGTCGCAACATCAGCTTCAGATCCGTTCTGCTGAAATCCGTTTCACAACCGAGGCGGCGCGACGAGTCGACCTGAGGACGTTTCATCAGGCCGCTGGTGAAACGGGCAGCAGCCTCCTCAGCGACTCAAATCGTCAGCTGATCTTTCTGATTTAGTAGATTATAAAATGTCCTGAGGAATGATCAGAGTCTCGCTTTAGAATCGCTGAAAGTCAGGAGAGAAGCGGCGGGATGGAGGGGGAGGAGCCCTTCGTGTCGCAGTCAGGAGGAACTGTAGCGCCACCATCAGGTCAAACACCTGCAGGACACACGGCGTCCCATCAGCCCCGGCTGTAGCGCACATGACACCTGCTAAACATTCAGCTGGGACGCAGCGCTGCAGCTGTGTGGTCACATGACAACATTATAAATGTGATTCTGTCCACGTGAGAACAGCTGATTTCTGATTGGGTGTTAACGGCGTGTCAAGTTTGACCCGAATATGTGTTTCTGTGTGTGCGTGCAGGGACGCGCCGTGCTCCACGTGGCGCTGCGTAACCGCTCCAACACGCCCATCCTGGTGGACGGCGCAGACGTGATGCCGGACGTCAACCGGGTGCTGGACAAGATGAAGGCCTTCTGTCACGTACGTGTGTGTGTGTGTGTGTGTGTGTTTGGCGTCTGTCGGCGCCGTGTGAGGCGGGAAGGTGCTGACCTTGTTGTGTGCTGCCATTCACAGAGGGTTCGAAGCGGCGAGTGGAAAGGCTTCAGCGGAAAAAGCATCACGGACGTCGTGAACATCGGCATCGGGGGCTCGGACCTGGTGAGTGGCGCCCGGACTCTGAGGCTGTCTGTCCAGAACCGAGCTGATCTGTTAAATTAATCACATTGATCAATAATGAGCTGTTAGTCGCAGCCCTGCGACGTGACGCGTTCAGGGACATTAAGCTCTTTGGTCGTGTTGCGTTCAGGGTCCCCTGATGGTGACTGAGGCCCTGAAGCCGTACTCCGCCGGTGGACCCAACGTTTGGTTCGTCTCCAACATCGACGGGACTCACATGGCCAAAACCCTCGCTCAGCTCAACGCCGAGACCACGCTGTTCGTCATCGCCTCCAAGGTGAGCGCACGCACGCACGCACGCACGCACGCACCAGCCACCTGAAACATGTTCCTGCTGGACTCACTTTGTGTCCCTCTTTCAGACCTTCACCACCCAGGAGACCATCACCAACGCAGAGTCTGCCAGAGACTGGTTCCTCCAGACGGCCAATGATGTGAGTCTCCTTGTTCCCTGACAGCCAATAGGATCAGTAGTCTGATCTGAGAGTGAAGATCTAACATGTGCTGCTGCAGAGCTCACAGCTCCTCTTCCCCTTCGTCTCCACAGAAATCTGCAGTGGCCAAACATTTCGTGGCGCTGTCCACCAACGCCGTAAGTGACTAATTTAAAGTCTTTGATCTAACGGCAGCACAAAGGAAGACGGCGCTGCTGTCTGTTTGTTTTTCATGGTGACACGTGTGTCGTTCTGACAGTAACTCTCCCCCCCCCCCCCCCGCAGGCCAAAGTGAAGGATTTTGGCATCGACACAGCGAACATGTTTGAGTTCTGGGACGTAAGTAAAGTGTGTGTGTGTGTGTGTGTGTGTGTGTGTGTGTAACGTTGACGATGAGCAGAAGGTTTCAGCTGTGACCTGTTCGCTGTCAGGCGGGGCGTTCAAAGCCCGTCAGACACTTCAGTGTTTTCATTGTTGCTAAAGTCAGAATCAGTTTTATTGGCCAGGTCTGTGTTCACATACGAGGAATCTGAGTGTTCATTAGAGAACGACAGCACGCACGCACCCAGCTGGACTCTTTATGTTGACGCTCTGCTCTGATTGGTGTGATGTCATGTCTGCTCCTTCTCAGTGGGTCGGAGGCCGTTACTCCCTGTGGTCCGCCATCGGCCTGTCCATCGCCCTGCACGTAGGTACGTCCTGACCTTTTAACCTTTTCCTGTCTGCTGAGCTCAAACACGCCACGTTCACACTCTGATGGCGGAGGCGCCGTCAAATGTACTGACCCCCGAAGCATTATGGGAACTGTGGTTTTCATTCACTCTTCTGTCTTTCAGGCTTTGAGAACTTCGAGCAGCTTCTTGCGGGAGCTCACTGGATGGTAGGAGATTATTTATGGATAACATTTGATCAGCTGCTGCTTCCAGCGTTTCAGTCCGCAGATAAAACAAACCTCCCGTCCATGTTTCTCTAAACGCAGCAGAAACCCCGCCTCCTTTCTGACTTGGTCCTTTTCTGTCTCTGGTCTGCAGGACAATCATTTCCGCAGCGCCCCTCTGGACCAGAACGTGCCGGTCCTGCTGGCCCTGCTGGGCGTCTGGTACGTCAACTTCTTCCAGGCCGAGACGCACGCCATGCTGCCCTACGACCAGTACATGCACCGCTTCGCCGCCTACTTCCAGCAGGTTGGTGCAGAGAAGTGAAACGTGGTGCCGTGAGTTTGATCCCGCTGCGTTATAGTGGGTTAACTAATCTGTGTGTGTGGTCGCCAGGGCGACATGGAGTCCAACGGGAAGTACATCACCAAAGATGGCACCCGAGTCAACTACCACACCGGACCAATCGTGTGGGGCGAGCCGGGGACCAACGGGCAGCACGCCTTCTACCAGCTCATCCACCAAGGTAGGGCGCCATTTTCCCGCCTGCTGCTGATGTTTAGTTTTCTAGAATAACTTTTGTCTCGACTCAGAAACTTTACTGACGTGTCGTTTCCTCCTCAGGAACTCGTATGATTCCCGCTGACTTCCTCATTCCCGCTCAGTCTCAGCATCCAATCAGAGACAACCTTCACCACAAGGTACCGCGTCACCTTTAGTCATTTTACCTTTTTTGAAAGATGCAGGTGATTCAGGACCAGCTGCTCGCCGCAGCAGCTGAACCTGGATCACGTTCCGACATCAGCTGGATTCAGGGCGCCACTTCCTCTTAAAGCATGAAGGCCCGCCGCTTTCTGACCACAAACGCTCTGCTGTGATGCGTTCACTGATCTTCATCGTTACCTCGTTTAGACAGGAAGTGACGCGTTTTATTTCAGCGTGATGACAGACTCATTTCCTGTCATCACATGACTCCTTTTGTAAAACGGACGCCCACTCAGGCGTCTCAGTTTAACGCCCCGGGTTCTCTTTGGCGCCGTGTTTGTACCTGCTGGGCTCCGCAGTGTCTGGTTAGACTTTCAAAGTAAAAGCAGGTGTGAAGCGTTGCAGTTGGGTTATGGCTTGTACGTCCGCTAATCTACCTAACTTAGGCAAACGCCGGCATCTGACTTCTCTCTCTGACGCTCTGCAGATCCTGGTGGCAAACTTCCTGGCTCAGACGGAAGCTCTGATGAAGGGAAAGACTTCAGACGAAGCTCGTGCAGAGCTGCAGGCCGCCGGCATGAAGGGGGACGCTCTGGAGAAGCTGCTGCCCCACAAAGTGAGTCCGTCTGTCTGACACGTTCGCACCTCTGACCTCTGTTCAGCGTCTGAGCTCTTCTCTCTGTCCGCCCGAAGGTCTTCGAAGGAAACAAGCCGAGCAACTCCATCGTCTTCAAGAAGCTGAGCCCGTTCGTACTGGGAGCTCTGGTTGGTGAGTACCGAGAGTTCTGTTCCTCAGAAGGTCTGTGGGGCTCCTCTCAGCCACCAGGCGGCGCTGCTGCATCTGCCCCATCCAGGTTTCCTGCTGTGAGGTGTGACTGATCATGTGACTTCTCCTCCTGTGTTTCAGCCATGTATGAGCACAAGATCTTCGTGCAGGGCGTCATGTGGGACATCAACAGCTACGACCAGTGGGGGTGAGTTCACTGTCCGCTTCGCTCAGACACTCTGAGGTGACGCAGGCGTTCACTAACCACGTTACTGCTTCCTGCCCACAGCGTCGAGCTCGGGAAGCAGCTGGCGAAGAAGATCGAGCCGGAGCTGAAGGACGACTCGGAGGTCACTTCCCACGACTCGTCCACCAACGGCCTCATCAGCTTCCTGAAGAAGAACTTCGCCTGAGTCCCCCCACCCCCACCCCCCCTCCATGTAATCCCGCCCCCCTCATTGGCTGATATTGTGTGTTGGTGTGTCCCCCTGAGAACGAGCACTTTATGATCGTAGACGTGTCGAACAGGAAATGTTCCTGTAGTGTTACCAGAATAAAAGTCCTGCGTGTCACTGAAGCTGCTGCCGTCTGTTTCTTCTTCAGGGACGATGGAGCGAAGCTGCACGCTGACTTCCTGTTGGTTCGTTCTGACAGTCGGAGCAGCTTTGCTCACACAGGAAGTCTGTTCGGTGTTTAACCACGAACAGCAGGTAGAAAGCATCAGAAGGAAACGAAATGTGAAAAGAAAACAGAGTAATTCGAGACATGATTCTAATTCTTTGTCCATGAAATAAAGTTTTATCATCAGAATCAAAGAGCTTTATTATCAGCAGTATTACACACTTTTATTTTAGATGAGACTGAAACATTCTGTGGCTTAATGGTTTATTTAGAATTGCGTGTAAAACGGGGAACATCTGACACGAAATGCTAATTGAAACTAATCAAAATAAATAACCGATAATAAATTTAAATATTAGTCAAATTTTAATGAATGGAAAAAAGAAGGAAAAACTGTATTTAATCCTCAGATCACGTGTTGTTGCTGCTCAGTCCGATTAAAGATGGAGACGAACATTAAAAGATGAACAAATGACATCAATAAATTTAAATACAATAAACAGATGCAAGTTCTAAAAGGAAAAACACAACAATAGGGCAGATTTTTATTATGTTACATGGAGAAAAAAATGTATATTTATGTAAATATGAAATTGACTAAATATAAAACGATAAATATCTGAAACGTGGCAGTGATGTGCAAAAAAGAAATCTTGGATCAGAGTCAAACGGATGTGTTGGAGAAGCTGCAGGTGGATTTAAGTGCTTAATGATGAAACGTCTCTGGGTTTGGGATTTGACTCATTAACATGTTTCACTGACCAAAGGACGAATAGTTAAACGTTCTCTGCCCCGTGTGCATGCTGGGAAATGAACTTGCAGAGTAAAGCTGGGATTTTAGCTCCCGGAGAAAATCTATAATGCATCAGCTCCACGTTATTGATCAGAACAGAAACACATGAAGTGAAAGTAGAATAAAAAAACAAGAGCAACATAAAGAGCAGCGTTAATCAGGTGTCACAGAGATTTGTTAAGTTTGATTTGTTTTATTTCTAACAACATAGTTAAAGAGATTTCTTTAAAAAGCTTCTCAGGTTTTACCGAACGAACCTAAAAACCTGACAGGACAGTTCGACATCAGCTGTTTCTGTGCCTTTATCTTAAAGTCTGGAGCAGACGCTTTATGTGCTCACGGATGGATCTTAATATGTCGAAGAATCAGACAGAGCTGTTGTCCCGGGTTACGGCCAGTTAAAGATGAACAGGTGATGGTGATGACACAGTGGATAAGACACATACCTTTGGTGTTCAATTCCCCACTGTGTAACCGCCAATCATCATCCACCAATGTTGCTCCAGAGGCGTGCGACCTTTGACCTCTGGCGTACAACATATGTACGTCGCTAAATGAATAAAAGTAAATCTTGGGGATGTGCATGTGTTCACGTGTCCTCCTCAGTCTCTTCTTCACCACACCTGAACCAAAAGACGTATTTATTTGAATCTTTTAACAGCCTCCCTGTCTTTGATTCGTTGTAGACTCGGTAGATGTAGGACGTTGCTGCTGTAAGTCCATGTTTATGAATAAAGGTTGATTTAAACAGACTGACCGAAGCCCTCTGATTTAAAAAAACGATGTCAACGTTGTTATTTTGCAGTTTGAAGATGTTTCAGTCCGCTCGGTGTGACCGCCTGCAGTTACACCGCTCCGCCTGCAGAGGGCGCCGCGATCGCTGCTGCTGATCGCTGCCGGAACAGAGGAGAAGAAGAAGAAATCTCCCGCCCCATCCGCCTTGCTTTTTAAACGGAGGCGGGAGGCTTCGCTTGTTCACTCGGTCCGTTCAGCTGGTGTTTAAACGACTTTTACCTTCACAGGTTTCTACCAACATGGTGAGGACTAAAGCCGACAGCGTCCCCGGGACCTACAGGAAAGGTACCGTAACACACCGCGGACATTTGTTCTCTTTCCGCGGAGAGCAGCGAACGGGCGCGCGGAATGAGCTGTTTTTATCATGGAGTCTTGCGGGCGCTCGTTAACACTTAGCCAAACAAAGCGGACAGCGAGACAGAAGTGTTTTACCGGGAGACCTCTGAGACACACATGAAGTATAATTATTTACTAACCGAGGCATTAACGTGTTCGGGTTGTATTTGGTGAAATCCCGGACCAGTCCTCCAACAACGGCCTCCCGCCAACACGTAGGCTGGTTCGCTGGTTCCTGATCAGCCGGAGAGTTTATTTAAAGGCGATTTAAAGTTGTGTTAACATCGAAAGTCGTATTTCGATGTTAGTATTCTGATCCGCGGACGAGACGACATTTTACTTTGTTTTCTCTAAGGTAGTGTCGTGTCTGCAAACTGGCGCCAGTTTTGAGCGCCGCAGTGCGGCATTGTGCGGACGTCGCACCAAACCCCTTTTAAAAAGTTACGTAATTTAAAGTGTTCCTGCTTTTCCTTTACTTAACGTGTGTGACACGATATAAAATACAGTATTTTATTAACCTGCGGGCTCTTCTGGTTAATTCGGCTTACATTTGACCCGCCGTTCAGAACTCTAATAAATAAAAACAGGATAAACTTGAATCAGGAATTATTGCCTGGAAAGGAGCAATTTTAATATCAAGTTATTGCGACAGTTAATCCTCGCAGGCTCTGGTGCACGAGCTTTCATAAAGCTCAGTAACTCACTGTTTGCTTTTTGTTCTGTCCCAGCTGTGCTCTGTTGATCCTTCCCTGGTGCAGAACCCAGCTCCTGATGTTTCTGGGTTCTGCCATTAGATCCTCAGTGTTTCTGATTATGTTTACAGCTGTTGCAGCTGCTGCACCCCGGAAGTCTCTGGGTTCCAGTTCGGCCAATTCCTCCTCGTCCTGCAGCAGCCAAGCGTCCACACCTGGTGAGTCACACCTGACACCACAGCGGGTACCTGCACAGGGTGCATCACGTGATGGCGTTCATACTGAGGTTGTGGCTTTTTTGTTAAATTTTTTTTTAATTCACAGCAAAGGGCAAGTACGCTGGCGGGAACCCGGTGTGTCCCCGTCCCACGCCGACCTGGCAGAAGGGCATCGGAGACTTCTTCGGTGGTCCGCCAAGGAAGCCTGAGAAGGAGAACCAGAGGCCTCTGGAAGTGGAGGACGACGAAGAGGCAGGCGGCAGCGGGATGTCCAAGGCCAGCAGAAAGTACGTTAGCCGGCCGCAACAGGCCGCGTTATGCATTTACTGATTTGGCAGACATTATGTGAAAGAGTCCTTACCGGTAGATGAACCGCAGCTCCTCCGGCTTTAGGTGAGATGTTACAGTAGTTTGGACCACCACGTGTCTAACTGCTGTTTAAATAACCAGCTGATGTCTCCGACACCAGGGTTCAATCCCCCACTGTGACACATCCACCAATGTGTCCCTGAGCAAGACACTTGACTCCTAGTTGCTCCAGAAGCGTGTGACCTCTGACACACAGCAATTGTAAGTCGCTTCGCCTAAAAGCGTCAGCTGAATGAATGTAAATGATTTAAATCTTATGCACGAGGAAAATCCAGTAAAATCTTTTTTTCCTCAGCAAGATAAAGATTTCAGTAAAAACATCAGGTGCTGATTCGTTTGTGATTCAAATGACTTAAGTCTCTTTAAATTTATTGAACTCTTATTATGGATAACTAACTATCATTTAATGTTATTGCCCAGCTCTAAACTGGTTTAAAGCTCATGAATTCCCTTTTAAAGGCTCGACGCCACCCGCCTGTCTGAGAGGGCGTTGACCTTCACGCGTCTCCCTCTGCAGGTGGATAATCATGAGGTCAGGGTTCTGAACTATCATTGCAGCTCATCAGGTCAAAGTGCCCCCCCCCCCCCCGACTCTGATGGGAATCTGTTGCACATATGAACGAGTCCTTTAACTGGCCTGGAGTGAAAAGGAAAATCTAGTTTAGGACAGAACTTGTTGCTGACGTGTTTTATTGTCTGTATAAAATCATGAGACGGCCGCTGCAGAGACAAGTTCTTTCACAGAGGAGGAGAAGAGGAATCCACATTGTGTTTTCTGAGCCGTTTGTCTCCGTCTGCAGGTCCAGACCGCTGCCTGCTGAGGACGAGGACGACGACTGAGGACGAGGAGGAAGCTGTCTGACTGTTGGTCCTGTTTGCTGCGTTTTTTAAATTGTACATCTGTATATAAATCTGCTGAATTCAATTTGTATAGTTCAATAAACTGTTTATTTTGGGGTTTTTTTATATATTCTGACATTTTTTAAAGTCTGTTTTTACTGTAATGATCCAGTGACATTAATAAAATGACAATGATCCAGTGATTTAAACAGTCACTGGGTACTTGCAGTACTTTGAGTACATTTTCCTGGTAACACTCGCATTCTTTTACTGAAGTCACATTTCCAAAGTAGGAAATTTACTTGTAATAGTGCGTTTTTATTTTTACAGTGGTACTAGTACTTTTACTGCACTGCATTTGGACGAAACACGGATTCAATCTTTGTCGCTTTTCTTGCAAGTGTTCGCACACAGCACGCCATCACTACGGCGGTATGAAGCCAAAATAAACATTTAGCTGCGATTTAATTGAGATAAACGGATCAAACTGATGCTGAAATAATATGATGCAGATTTGTTAAACTTATAAAGTCTTGCGGTGTCAGGTCAGTCTCTTAAAATGGTGGTTTTCTGAATGGAGTCTGGCTCCAACAGAACTTGTTCCCATTGAAGCTTGAAGCTCAGAGTACTTCAGAAACAGACTGAGGTTCAAACGCTCATTGCATTATTTTTCTACTGCAATCAGAAATCTGCTTTCAGTCACTTTATAGATTAACAATATAAAATATAATCGGCTGATCAATGAGATTAAGATCAATTCATAAAGTGATCAACATGAGCTGCAGCAGTAAAGTGATGAACACATGAATAAGTTATATTTATTATAATGGTAAAAGAATAAAAGTACTAAAATACTTTTACTTTTGGTACTTTAAGTGTACTTCGATGATGCTAATACTTGTGTACTTGTACT